ATCAAGCTTTATTTTTAAGCCCTGAAAAGGCTTTTTAGGACACAAAAAAGATATTTATTGCAACAGATAACATTAAGATGTTGGCAGGGAACTACAGAGAACTAGTCAACAGAGACGGACTCCAGCCTCTAAGACGTGGAAGGTGAAAGACGAGTTGCAGCTACGTCTCTGGAGGTTGTTAATCTGAGGCATGTGGAGAAAATCCTCCTGGAAACCTCAGTCCATGCTGCAGTGAGTCATCGGTTGTCCCTCCAGATTGGGGGCTGAGGTCGGATTGGGACATGGGAATGCTGATGGGTGGGGTGGGGGGGTGTTGACTTGGAATGGCACCGCTGCCTTCGTCCTCTGAGTCATCGTCCACCCCACCTCTCCCTGTATGGCCGTGAGAAATGTCCCGTCTGTCTGTAGGTGTGCAGATGGTTTCTCTGCTCTATTTAAACATTTTCACCCAGACTTCACCGGCTTTTATTGAAACTTTATGTGACGAGCCAAAGTATACAGCAGCCGAAGAACTGGGAGGAAAATTACTTCTTACAATATTTACAACTAAAAACGGAAAAAGTAAGGTGTCGGTTTTCAATAATAGCAGCGGATATAAAGGGATTATTAATAAAGTAGCTTCTCCCGTCTGAGTTTGTCTGTTTTTTTCACCTAATACATCAAATTAAACCCCAAAAAGTAAAAAAAATAGCACCACTATTACCCCTTTCCCAAACACTTGGGCAGGGGTTGACGTTAAGGATTTTCACATTTCATTTGCCCAGAAACAATTTTTACTTGCCCAGTATAATGTTTGATAAATATAGTTCCTAATATTCATTTTTGTATATATATCAATGAAACATGTTTGTTTTTTAAATGTTTTTTTTTTGTAATTCAGTAAGTTTCCAGGTTCCTGGTGTGTATCTGCATGCGTCAGATAATGAACTCAAGCCTACATTACCGTGTTAACATGCTTTTTAATCCTTCCTGCACATTCTTTTCAAACTAAACTTTGCTTTAAACTGTTGTGTGCTTGGAAAAATATAAATTGTAATGTTAAAAATCTAAAAAAAAACTTGACAGGTTAAAAACTTACACTACTACTACTCACCAATTTGAAATGTTTAGCTCTATAACATTTAAATGCACCACTAGAATGTGTACAAAACAACAAAAATGGCGCCGGCAACGCTTGTCGGTCGTTTTAAGCGAATGCCAGTGATTTCAATGTAATTTTGAGGGATAAATGAATTTTTTTGCGATCACTGCACTTGCCCGGCGGGAAATGCAATGAAATTTGTACTCTCTCGACAATAAAAACTGCTTGCCCCGGGCGATCGGGCGATGGGTAACATCGAGCCCTGTTGGTAATAATGGGCTTTCAGTGACAGAGGGAACAGCTCACTGACGCGTGTATAACAGGGTCAAACGACTCGGTGAGCGACCCGCGTTAAAATCGCCTCGGCTCCGATCGGCATGCTGTGGGAACACCAGAGCCAGGTGGGGAGAAGGATTCAGACAGATTATAGCAGGGTTCCTACAGCATAAGGCGAGTTAAATTCAAGACTTTTTTAGACTTTTTAATGCCACCTGAAATAAAAATTTAAGACCAAATTCACAAGAAACACAAGAAAAACCTGCTTGCGACAACTTAACCCAAAGGTTTATTTTAACATAAACCACTGCACTAATGTTTCAGATTTTGAAAAGCTTCCCATACAGGCAGAAAGCTAAAAACACACAAATGACAGATATATTTTAACAATTATTTTTACTGAATTCACAAACTTTGTTTTAGCAGGGAACAAAACAAATCAGTTTTAAAGCCCCAACATAACCATTGCTAAGTCTTTTTTGCAGCTATTTTTCTTTGTATGGTTTTCTTAGTCTGTTTGATTTGGTGATAAGTGGAGGCGTTGCAGAGACAAGGGTGGAACTAAACTGAGAAATACCGGCTGTTTCTCTGTAACTCCATTTTGACGCTTTGTGTTTCGCGCTTCGCATGTGCGACTCCACTGCCTTAATTCCCATCGTTCTGAGCTTGAATGACTTCTTGCACAAAATCCACTGAGCCTCATGTATGTTCCCTGGTTTTAGTCATGGAGAAAACTCTTGGCTGGAGACAATTTTGGTTACATTTACACTTGCTCATATTTTCCAGACAAAAAGTTAATGGCGCATCTCCCAAATGTCCCGGCCGCAACAACGCTTTATCGGTTCCGCTATCGGGACGGAACCAATAATGGCGAGCAGTTATTTTTTTTAAAAAAAATAAAAAAAATGTGTCAATTTTAACGTTTTATTTAGATTACAAAAATAAATCGTAATAAAAATGATCCTATTTACGATGTTTTAAAAATTAAGACCAACGAAAGACTGATTTAAGACATTTTAATACCAATTAAGGCCTTAGTTTTATTTTGAAGAATTCAATGCCTTTTAAGACTTTTAAAGGACCCTGAATAGAGTGAAACAATAAATTACACTGACTATGCCCTGGCTTCCTTCCATTTGATCTCCATTGTTACTTTTCTGTTTTCTGTCGCACTGGTGACATCATCAACGCCAACCCAGGGTGATGGTCTAACCAGATATGCGCCACACAGCTGCCATGGGTTATGCTATGTTCAGAACATACGCAGCAGGAGCAGCAAAAACACGCGTGCTGCTTCACTTTTGATGCTTGTACAAGTTTAGTTCTGACGCGCGGCTGAAGCATCTTTGCTGCTCTAGCTGTGGGGTGGAAAAGAGAGTCTGATGTGCTTTGGGTGGAGCTACCCTATCCTTTCTTTGCCTGTAACAATGGCAGTTATATTTGCTGTGATCAGTGGGTAAAAGGTAGTTTTATTGTTTTTAAAGTAAGAAAGTCCACCTGGATTCTGTGCAGTCCATGTACCACCAAATTACCATCCTGCCTTCAAATATTATTTCGCTACTCAGACCCCCGTGGAATGGCGGCGCTCTGTCACTGAGTTTCAGAGGAGCGATCATAGCGCTCTGCATCAGCAGCGCTGTGTCTGACTCCCTGCCAGCTCCCAGATCAGCTTCTCTGATTGGTTGATGTGGCGCGTCGAGCAGCAAAGGTTAAATTTTTCCAACTCCAGCCGCTGCTGCTTCTGAAGCGCATCAGATACTCAGAAGCTCGTGAGGTGCCGCTTCTGCACTGGAAAAAATCTAAATCCAGATAAGTCATTTTTTTAATAAGTGTATTTGTTCTTGGATTGAGGAGGTAAAAAATACATTTTGCCAATGGAAGAAGATAATTTACATTTAAACTTAGAAAACACAATTGCATTGTCTTATTTCAAGTGCATATTATCTAATGATCTTATTTTAAGAGTAAAAATACTCATTCCATTGCAAACTATTTCATTTACCTCCTCAAATTAAGGGTAAATACACTTAATTTAAGAATTTTTTTGCTTATTTCTTTATCGTTTTTCCAGTGTGCTGCTCAAAACGTGCTGCAGGACATTTTGCTGCGCCTTGATGCGCGTCAACCAGTGACTTCTCCATGTAAACTAGCCGCTTCCTGCTGCCTCTGCAGCGGGCGCTCTGAACGTAGCTTTTTTTTTTGCCAATGGGAAGGGAACCAAATGGCGACTGTTAGCGGTCCGATCCAACTTTAAAAAACACGGTTTATTTTCAGTGGGAAAGAAGTTTTTAAGAGGCTTTTTTAAGGCGCTTTGGTTCCTGAAATGGCTGAAAATGTTTCAGTTGGCTCCACCTGCATGGTGCTGATGCACAGGCTCCTATGGATGACAAACTGGCTGAGGGCGGCTGATCTTTTGTAGCTGTTCCGACCGTGCACCATGAGGAGACGACCCAGATGTTTGAACTGAGTTACAGAGAAGTCGGCGGCCAGAGAGGCTTGCTTTCCTTCCTGGAGAAGAAAAAAAAAAAGGAACAGAGGACAGTCAGGATATGCGACAAACATCGAATAAAAAACTATATCAAATGTTTTTCAGCTGATAGGAAACACAAACATCTGGATACAAACCAAATCATGTATTTAACATCACAGATGCAAAAGTTATAGAAAGGCAATATTAGTGGATCTCTTTGCTTCATGGTCACATTATGGTCATCCTGATCTACTAATAATTAAATCTGACTAATGGTGTTTTCACAATAAAACCCACCCTGTTGATAAGCTGCTGGAGAATGACGGGAAAAAAGCAGCATGTTAGGAAATACTCAAAGAGCAGTTTTATGCAAAACATACAAAATAGTCTCCACGCACATTTTGAATGTTTTATAAAGGCAGACTTAGGCCCCGTCCACACGAAGTCAAAACGAACACGAAACGCTAATATTTTCCAGAACGTTCGTCGTAAAGACGGAGATGTTAAATAAATGTGATCGTCCACACGAATGCTTGAAAACGCTGCAAAATGTATGCCAGGCCTGTAAGTGGCGCTGTGGTGCCAAAGCAAAAATAGGTGACGAAATGTTGGACATGCGCACTAATATTTATACATGGTTGCCCTGCGGGTCCATTTTCGTGGTTCAGTCAAATTCAGGTGATGAACTATGTCGTCCATATTGCTCTGTTCTTCCTGGAGATATTCCAGAAGAAGAAGATTCTGTTGTAAGCCCGACAGCAGGGTGAGTAGCATGAGCAGCAACCATTCAACACAGTAAGGCGCCATTGTTGTTGTGATACTGTGTCGCGCATGCGTGTTTAGAGGCGACGCTATGACGCATGCGTGTAAGAAAAAAAATGCGGTTAGAGCTTAAAGATGGAAACGCGAAAACGCCGTTTCAAAATCTTCCCACTCTGAAGGCTGAATAAAAAAAAGATCGTTTACAGACCCCCGAAACGCCGGCTTCGTGTGGATGAGAGGCTGGTTTGGTGAAAAATTTGTGCGTTTAGGCCAGGGTTTGACTTCGTGTGGACGGGGCCTTAATACTCTGAGGCCCTGCTGTCCTACATCACTGCTTTCATGTAGGGCTGCAACAAATGATTATTTTGCTAATCGATTAATAAATGAAGAGCCAAAGGTTCCTTAAAGAAGAAAAATAATTAAACAAGGTGGAAATAAAGCTTTTCCATTGGAGGAGTTCTGGATAGAGCATATTGACAGATGAAAACTTGCAATTGCAATGTCTTATTTCAAGTGCATATTATCTAATGATCTTATTTTAAGAGTAAAAATACTCATTCCATTGCAAACTATTTCATTTACCTCCTCAAATTAAGGGTAAATACACTTAATTTAAGAATTTTTTTGCTTATTTCTTTATCGTTTTTCCAGTGTGCTGCTCAAAACGTGCTGCAGGACATTTTGCTGCGCCTTGATGCGCGTCAACCAGTGATTGAAATGCAAAATGTTTACATATATTTTCTTTCAATGTTGGTATAAATAATGCTGTAACGAATAATGGCTTACTAAATTAATTGACGATTACTTCAATAATCAATTAATCACAATTAATTGTTTTAGCTTTGCTTCCGTTTTGTCCATTTGTGGGAGGAACCAACCTGAGGAAGTAAATGTTATCCTTGTCCTACTTCCAGCAGCTCGTTTCATTCTACCTGTATTATATTTAGTTCAATCTCTAACGTTCTGCTCTCTCTACTTTTTCTCATAGTAGCTTCATCTGGTCTGTTCCTGTTTGGCTGTGACTCCATCCTGGAGAGAAATATATCAGCTATGCTGCTGCCATCAACACCTTCGTTTATAGATGTTTGAGATCTGTTTTTCAGTGTACAGGTGCTGGTCATAAAATTAGAATATCATGAAAAAGTGGATTGATTTCAGTAATTCCATTTAAAAAGTGAAACTTGTATATTATATTCATACATTACATACAAACTCATATATTTCAGATGTTTATTTTGTTTAATTTTGATGATTACAAATGACAACAAATGAAAATCTCAAATTCATCATATCAGAAAATTAGAATATTGTGAAAAGGTTCAAAATTGATGGCCCCTGGTGCCACACTCTAATCAGCTAATTAACTCAAACCACCTGCAAAAGCCTTTAAATGGTCTTTCAGTCTAGTTCTATAGGCTACACAATCATGGGGAAGACTGCTGACTTGACAGTTGTCCAAAAGACGACCATCGACACCTTGCACAAGGAGGGCAAGACACAAAAGGTCATCGCTAAAGAGGCTGGCTGTTCACAGAGCTCAGTGTCCAAGCACATTAATAGAGAGGCGAAGGGAAGGAAAAGATGTGGTCGAAAAAAGTGTACAAGCAAGAGAGATAACCGCACCCTGGAGAGGATTGTGAAACAAAACCCATTCAAAAATGTGGGGGAGATTCACAAAGAGTGGACTGCAGCTGGAGTGAGTGCTTCAAGAACCACCACACACAGACGTATGAAAGACATGGGTTTCTGCTGTCGCATTCCTTGTGTCAAGCCACTCTTGAACCACAGACAGCGTCAGAAGCGTCTTGCCTGGGCTAAAGAGAAACAGGACTGGACTGCTGGTGAGTGGTCCAAAGTCATGTTCTCTGATGAAAGTAAATTTTGCATTTCCTTTGGAAATCAAGGTCCCAGAGTCTGGAGGAAAAGAAGAGAGGCACTTCATCCACGTTGCTTGAAGTCCAGTGTAAAGTTTCCACAGTCAGTGATGGTTTGGGGTGCCATGTCATCTGCTGGTGTTGGTCCATTGTGTTTTCTGAGGTCCAGGGTCAACGCAGCCACATACCAGGAAGTTTTAGAGCACTTCATGCTTCCTGCAGCTGACCAACTTTTTGGAGATGCAGATTTCATTTTCCAACAGGACTTGGCACCTGCACACTGTGCCAAAGCTACCAGTACCTGGTTGAAGGACCATGGTATCCCTGTTCTTAATTGGCCAGCAAACTCTCCTGACCTTAACCCCATAGAAAATCTATGGGGTATTGTGAAGAAGAAGATGCAATACACCAGACCCAACAATTCAGAAGAGCTAAAAGCCACTATTAGAGCAACCTGGGCTATCATAACACCTGAGCAGTGCCACAGACTGATCGACTCCATGCCACGCCGCATTGCTGCAGTAATACAGGCCAAAGGAGGCCCAACTAAATACTGAGTGCTGTACATGCTCATACTTTTCATGTTCATACTTTTCAGTTGGCCAACATTTCTATAAATCCTTTGTTTTTATTGGTCTTCAGTAATATTCTAATTTTCTGATATGATGAATTTGAGATTTTCATTTGTTGTCATTTGTAATCATCAAAATTAAACAAAATAAACATCTGAAATATATGAGTTTGTATGTAATGTATGAATATAATATACAAGTTTCACTTTTTAAATGGAATTACTGAAATCAATCTACTTTTTCATGATATTCTAATTTTATGACCAGCACCTGTAGTCCTGTTTCTCTGACTGTGACTAACTGGATGTACTCTTTTCATCCCCTGAGCTCGTCTGCCTGGCTGTATCTTTCCAGGACAGGGGCCGCCGTGGAGCTGCTTGACACGTTCCTTTCTGTATCTCTGCTTCTGTCTCCTTGAACCCCAGTCGGCCTCAGCAGATGGCCGCTCACACTGAGCCTGGTTCTGCTGGAGGTTGCTTTCTGTTAAAAGGGAGTTTTTCCTCTCCACTGTCGCTACAAGCATGTTTGGTGTGAAGGATTGCCTTCGAGTTAATGATTCGGTGCAATCAGCTGGTTTTCCTTAGATAGAAAACTGTGAATCAGTCTGACTGGAGGATCTGGTTGAACTATAAAGGGCCTTGAGATGACTTCTGTTGTGAATTGGTGCTACATAAATTACCTGAATTGAATTGCTTAATATAGAAAATGACTAATAAAATACAGATGATCACAGAGCCATCATATTTTGCCGGACTGATCTGAGAATGCTCAACGATGACATTCAGAAAAACAATATAATGGAAAGACTTTCCAACACATCATTGGTTTCTCTCTGGGTACTCCGGCTTCCTCCCACAGTGCAAAAACATGACTGTTAGGTTAATTGGCTTCTGTAAATTCTCCTTAGGTGTGAGTGTGAATGATTGTTTGTCGTGTTTGTCTCTGTGTTGCCCTGCGATGGACTGGCGACCTGTCCAGGGTGGACCCCGCTTCTCGCCCAACTTGAGAAAATTAAATATACAATGAGAGGATGTAAAGACATTTTTTTTCCAAAAATGGCAGTGTTTTCTTTCTTATTTTTTAAATTTGGAGCTTCTACCTAATTAAATACACTCACCGGCCACTTTATTAGGTACCCCATGCTAGTAACGGGTTGGACCCCCTTTTGCCTTCAGAACTGCCTCAATTCTTCGTGGCATAGATTCTAGGGCTGCAACTAACGATTATTTTAAAAATCGATGAATCGGACGATTATTTTTTCGATTAATCGATGAATCGGACAAAAAATATTTTTTATATTAACCTCTTTATTCCAAAATAAACATTTTAGACAGAACAAACAAGCACACAAGTACAGGTTGCTCGTTAACTGTACTGGTGCAATATGAAAAATAAATGTTTGTGTTAAAACTACGCAAACTTACATGAGAAATGTAGCTGCACATCCACAAAATATAGGCTACTTTGTTTCATAAAGCGCAAAAAAAGACATTTTTGTTTTAAAAGCCCCTAAGGGGTTCAAACAATAGGCCCCCCCATTTCAACAAATTAGTTTTTTTAGACTAGAAGAGTTCTGCCTTTTAAGACAGGAAAGTATAGCAGTTAAAGTTTCTACTTGAGAAAATACTGAATCATAGAGATAAAAATAGCCCTGTGGTTCAAATTATAAATTGTATTTGGAATAAAAATGAGAGAACTAGGGGTGCTAAAACACACATCCTCCAAAGACAGATATTTACATGGGAATGTGGCAGATAATTAATTGACATATTACTGATCTTGCTGGATTTTATTCTGCTTTACTTCCATAAATTGCAGGATCTTCTTTACTTTAATTTTGCCAGAAGATTTAAACTTTAAAAGCCTTGCCCTCATAATTTGCAAGTTAATTTATTTATAAAGAAAATATAAACGCTGCTTAAGCTAATTCAAATGAAATTAAAGGTAAAATAAGTAGCCAACCTTATCCCTGTCTGTAACCTACTAACACGGTAAGGAAAGCATCAGATGAGCTACCTGAGAAACTAACGTTACGTTTCCCCACTTTAAAACCAAACAAACATGGTGCTTCCGTGCCATGTTAATTTCTTTTGAAAAAAGTTGCATGTTATCACTTTTTTCGCTTTACAAAGCGCAGGCTATTTTAATTATTGTGATCAATTTGCGCCGTCAATCCCGGTGCATGCGCGCTTCATTTGCAGTCTGGACGCTGAGGCTGACTGCAGCGCTGAGAGGGACTCCTGCGGGAAAACGCGGTTGGGGTGGGGGAGGCGCCCCACGGCAGAGTAGGAACGATACATGCTTTCACGTAAGAGTCTCCAAAAGCCGCCAGTGACACCGAAAAAAGTCGCCAGATTTGTCGCTAGTACGCTTTTTAAAAAAATAGTCGCTGGAGGGGTCTGAAAAGTCGCTGAGTTGGCAACACTGCACCTGCGGCGCTGACTCGCTCTGCCTTTTTTTTTTTTTCTTCCTCTTTCAGTCAAGAGGCAGTGATGACGGCGCGGCGGATGACGCAATAATCGCGCGACACAACTAATCGATGATGAAATTCGTTGCCAACGCTTTTAAAAGTCGATTTTTATCGATTTTATCGATTCGTTGTTGCAGCCCTAATAGATTCAACAAGGTGCTGGAAGCATTCCTCAGGGAGTTTGGTCCATATTGACATGATGGCATCACCCCTTGCTCACACTGGCTCCGGTGCAGTTACCGAGCCGACGGAGACCGCAACTCCCGCACACCCCCTCTCACACCTTCCTTTTGACTACGGTGCGGCTCTGCGGCTCCGGCAACAGGTCCGGAGATTTAACAGAAGTTCACTTGAGTTCACGTAACTTCACGCGATAACACGGCCCAAATAAAGGATTTTTGCGAGAGCTTGTTGCGGAGGGCTCCGGCACGCCGCAAGGATAGCTTTCTTGCGGAATTTTCTGCAGCGCCAGAGTGTCTCGGTAACCGCAGCCAGACAGCTCAGCAGCCGGTGAGAGAGGTTTACGTCTTTTTAATGATTTGGAATCACTGCGGCGCCGCACCCACCGCACCGCAACGGTAAGACCGGAGTCGGTGTGAGCCTGGGGTCACACAGTTGCCGCAGATTTGTCGGCTGCACATCCATGATGCGAATCTCCCGTTCCACCACATCCCAAAGATGCTCTATTGGATTGAGATCTGGTGACTGTGGAGGCCATTTGAGTACAGTGAACTCATTGTCATGTTCAAGAAACCAGTCTGAGATGATTCCAGCTTTATGACATGGCGCATTATCCTGCTGAAAGTAGCCATCAGAAGTTGGGTACATTGTGGTCATAAAGGGATGGACATGGTCAGCAACAATACTCAGGTAGGCTGTGGCGTTGCAATGATGCTCAATTGGTACCAAGGGGCCCAAAGAGTGCCAAGAAAATATTCCCCACACTATGACACCACCACCACCAGCCTGAACCGTTGATACAAGGCAGGATGGATCCATGCTTTCATGTTGTAGACGCCAAATTCTGACCCTACCATCCGAATGTTGCAGCAGAAATCGAGACTCATCAGACCAGGCAACGTTTTTCCAATCTTCTATTGTCCAATTTCGATGAGCTTGTGCAAATTGTAGCCTCAGTTTCCTGTTCTTAGCTGAAAGGAGTGGCACCCGGTGTGGTCTTCTGCTGCTGTAGCCCATCTGCCTCAAAGTTCGACGTACTGTGCGTTCAGAGATGCTCTTCTGCCCACCTTGGTTGTAACGGGTGGTTATTTGAGTCACTGTTGCCCTTCTATCAGCTCGAACCAGTCTGGCCATTCTCCTCTGACCTCTGGCATCAACAAGGCATTTCCGCCCACAGAACTGCCGCTCACTGGATGTTTTTTCTTTTTCGGACCATTCTCTGTAAACCCTAGAGATGGTTGTGCGTGAAAATCCCAGTAGATCAGCAGTTTCTGAAATACTCAGACCAGCCCTTCTGGCACCAACAATCATGCCACGTTCAAAGTCACTCAAATCACCTTTCTTCCCCATACTGATGCTCGGTTTGAACTGCAGGAGATTGTCTTGACCATGTCTACATGCCTAAATGCACTGAGTTGCCGCCATGTGATTGGCTGCTTAGAAATTAAGTGTTAACGAGCAGTTGGACAGGTGTACCTAATAAAGTGGCCGGTGAGTGTATGTGTGCCTGTTGCTGTATTTTGCTGATGTTTTTTTTCTTTCTATTATTATTAATTTTATTTTTTGCTGAACATGCTGGGCTGAGACGGGGTGGGAATGGGGTGTTTTGTTCTCTCCTTTATTGTTCTTGTTTTGTTTTTGTTGTTTGTATATGTTGTAGGTGTGACTATTTCAACAATTGTACTTGTGTGTATATATTAGAAGTTATACCTGCATAAGTATACGTTTATCCACAAAAATAAAAAGCAAACTGTATTCCTTATTGTGATTATCTTATCATTTGCTTCAATAAAAACAATTTGAAAAAAAAATAATAAAATCTTTTGATTAAGTAGTTTCATTCTGTTTATGTTTTGTTTTTATCAAATTTCTGCTTATAAAATGTGTACTTTGGTCACAACAATACAGAACAGCTGCTATTTGAAAATAGTGTATTTTGTTTGTCTTTTTTATTATGTAGAGAGAGAAAAGAAAAGATAAACTGAATTTGGTAGATAAATAAATTAATCAGATCAACCATGTCGCCCAGTGGTGTTGGATTCAGTGCAAAACAATCAGAAACACAAGTTCTGCTCAGATTTCCATCCGCAGTGGAAGCAGGGTCATGATCAACTACACTCTGGAAGAGGCGGGCAGCTCAGAGACTCCCTAAAACACAAAAAAACTTCCTGTCATCTCTGCTTCCTCCCTCCGCCTCGGACAATAGATTCCTCGTAAAGGGAATCGTCCGTGCGCCGTTTCTCTCTGGACGAGGGAGATATCTTTACAGGAAGTAGAAAGCATAATATCTGTAGCTTGCGTTGATGTGAAGCTACGAGATGGACAGAGTCTTACTTTTCCCTCCACTCCCACGCCACAGTCGGCTTCCTGGATCATGCTGACATCGTTTCCTCCGTCCCCTGGGAGAGAACAAAAGCCACAGAGGTGTCAGAACTCGCATCACTCACCAGGACCGACTGCTTGGACACCATCTACGCTCCACCCCCCTCCATTTTAACTCAAGACTGCTAGGCAACATCAACAGGAGAGAGATCTGCTGGTTGCAGCAGTTTGTGGTGGAGACTTATGGACTTGATGTAGACGTTGATGGTTAAAAAACAAAAAAAGTTTCCTTTAGGTTTTATTTTTTTTAGATCAAACCAAAGCCATGCGATCTTTAATACTCACCGACTGCGCAGGTGAGTTTGCCCGTGCGCTCCTGCAGCAGTCGGACTATCTGTGCTTTCTGGGTGGGGGTGCATCGGCAGCAAACCACAGCAGGACACTGACATGCAAGCTCCATGAACTCATACTCGTAATATTTCAGACAGACCTGCCGAGAAAGAAAAAAAAGAGGCAGAGATGAAGACAGGTGAGGACTTCAGTCCACCACATTTAACTGATTTTAGCTGTGGCACCCAAAGCTACAGTTAGAAACTCCAGCTGCGGTTTAGAAAGTGTCTATAACCACGGATGCCACATCCAGAAAAAGGCTAGAGTGGATGCCATATTATCGTGCATCGCACTGCAAACATGTCACAGTTTCATAAAGACAGATAAGTCGGTGGGATGTGGATCAGACACGCAAGAGCGAACCCACCTCGAGCGAGTCCCCTGATATCACCAAAGCGCAGTCATGCTTTCGCCTGAAAGCGTTGAGCTCCAGGTGGGCTTCCCCTCGCGTTGTCACCTGTGGCAAAACACCCACATTTATAAATGAACCAATATGTCAGAAAGGCACATACATAGGAGGAAGCATATAGAGATGATTATCAGTGAGCCTTTGTGTGCCTGCTGCTTATCACATGACTGCTTTCACTCCTGCTGCTGTGTCTAAACGCTGGAAAGACAAAAGAATCAACCTCACTGCAACTAATTCAATATAAGCAGCTTGATTTTCCCTTTAAATAAGTTTTCTTTCAAGCGGGAAAAACTATTTGTCAATGAAACAAGTAAAAGAATGTTTAAAATAAGAGATAAAAAATTATCATCTTATAAAATGATCTAATTTTAGCAGATCGTCTAATTTACCTGCTCACATTCGGGTTTTTTACCTAAAAAAGTTGAAATCCCAAGTAATTTTTTCTAAAATAAGTGCATTTTTTTCTTTTATCAAGGAGGTAAGTGAGACACTTTGCCAACAGAACAAGACAATTTACATTTAAAATAAGAAAAAGCAATTGCATTGTCTTATCTAAGGTACATATTATCTAATTATAGTATTTTATCAGTAAAAAAACTAATTCAATTGGCAAATCATCTAATTTAACTGCTCAAATTAAGGCTAAATACAAATTTTTACTTATTTCTAGATCGTTTTTGCAGCGTGTTGCAGCCTACCTGACACAGGTTAGGATATAAATGCTATTCTGTGATCTGAACATTTTAAAGCAACAATCAAAGAGAGCGCTTTGCACATCTATATAACCTGACATCTGAGTAGAAGAAAAAGGATTAAAATTACTAAAAGACTGCAGTAGTCATTTTGATCCGTATTCCCCTAAGCAGTGTAGTGGGAAATAAATCAATTATTCACTCCAGTTAAATAAACAGGGAGATCGATTCTGCACTTTATTTTATTTTATCTTTTCAAATAGTTCATCATACGGTAATCAGCCCTGTTCTGATCTGGGCAGCGTTCGTTCCCCCTAACTTAGAATAATGTAAAGTAGCCAGAGTTATAAATTACTTTGGTTAAACAGAAACATGTTATGAATAAACCTTGAGAATGAATCTGGCTTGTTATGGAAAGAAGGATGTCTTGTATACAAACACCCCCCACTCAGGCAGGTGAAACAGACTGGGTGAAAACTTTTATAGCGAACAAATAGCATAAAATCTACGGAAGAGGATTAGGGCCACTGAAAAAAAAAAGTTAACTGATTTTTAAATTTTATTTCAGTTTACTATGGGAATATTAGAATCCTGACTTTAATCTCAGAATTCTGACTTTTTTCTGAGAATTCTGACTTTAATCTCAGAATTCTGACTGAATTGCGCATTAAGCCATAGCCATGTATGCTTTAGAGACTAGCTCTCTTGTTTTAATGACCTTCTGCTCCTCCATTAATGAGGGGACCCCTCGGGAACGTAAAAAGTTGCCTAATTCCGTCATTTTCCACCAATGTGTCACTGGCCCTCCCAAACAACTCACATCTTTGTCAGTGAAGCTGAGTGCTCCACATCTCTTCCTTCATGGTGCCCATTTACATTAAGATCCACAATTCTGAGATTAAAGTCAGAATGCTGAGATTAAAGTCAGAATCCTGAGAATCAAGTCAGAATCCCGAGATTAAAGTCAGAATCCTCAGATTAAAGTCAGAATTCTGAGATTAAAGTCAGAATCCTGAGATTAAATTCAAAATTCTGAGATTAAATTCAAAATTCTGAGATTAAAGTCAGAATCCTGAGAAAAAAGTCAGAATCCTGAGATTAAAGTCAGAATCCTGAGATTAAAGTCAGAATCCTGAGATTAAAGTCTAAATTCTGAGATTAAAGTCAAAATTCAGAGATTAAAGTCAGAATTCAGAGAAAAAAAGTCAGAATTCTGAGATTAAAGTCAGAATCCTGAGTCAGAATCATGAAATTAAATTCAAAATTCTGAGATTAAAGTCAGAATTCTGAGAAAAAAGTCAGAATCCTGAGATTAAAGTCAGAATCCTGAGATTAAAGTCAGAATCCTGAGATTAAAGTCAGAATTCTGAGATTAAATTCAAAATTCTGAGATTAAATTCAAAATTCTGAGATTAAATTCAAAATTCTGAGATTAAAGTCAGAATTCAGAGAAAAAAAGTCAGAATTCTGAGATTAAAGTCAGAATTCTGAGAAAAAAGTCAGAATTCTGAGATTAAAGTCAGAATTCTGAGAAAAAAAGTCAGAATTCTGAGATAAAAGTCAGAATTCTGAGATTAAAGTCAGAGTTTTGAGAAAAAAGTCAGAATTCTGAGATTAAAGTCAGAATTTTGAGATTAAAGTCAGAATTCTGAAAAAAAAAAATCAGAATCCTGAGATTAAATTCAGAATTCTGAGAAAAAAAGTCAGAATTCTGAGATTAAAGTCAGAATTCTGAAAAAAAAAATCAGAATCCTGAGATTAAAGTCAGAATTCTGAGAAAAAAGTCAGAATTCTGAGATTAAAGTCAGAATTTTGAGATTAAAGTCAGAATTCTGAAAAAAAAAAAATCAGAATCCTGAGATTAAATTCAGAATTCTGAGAAAAAAAGTCAGAATTCTGACTTTTTTCCCCATAGTAAACTGAAATAAAATTTAAAAATCAGCTAACTTTTTTTTTCCAGTGGCCCTAATACTCTTCCGTATAAATCAGAATATGAAATAAGAGAAATCAATATTTTCTGACTACAGCAGCTGTCAGGTAATATAGAGGTGCAAAGTGCTCTGTTCGATTGTCAATGTTTATATTAAAAGATGTCTATATAACATATCTTCTTCCAATCTTAGATCGAATTGATGCAAGTTGGACGGTGTGCAGGGGTTCATTAGTAAAAGCAATAATATAACATAATAAAGTGAAGGTTGCAGCTGAATCAGTTTGTAATTTCCTTGCAGATAAAACAAATAAAAATTCCTCAAAACAACTTCAAATATAAACGCCTCCAAAAATTCAGCGCAGAGGAGGCCTGGTGTTAATCTGTCAGCAAAAGCCGAGCTCTGGTATGAATATCCTTCAACTGCTGACTATTCATACGTCAATCCAGGCCAGGGTGTCGGTGGCCACCAGGAAGCTAATCCAGATGTATGTGCTATGGGTCCAGTCAGCACCCCCTTCCCCCCCATCCAGCCTCCATCGGGACTGAGGTTTTCAAGCTGTGCCAACCATTGTTATGTTATTCTCTTCCAGTAACCACATTTGTACGCAAACTGTAACCTTCCTACATGGCAGGCGCTCCTTCTGCTCTGGCACGGCTCCAGAGGGGAAGGGGGGGGGGGCTAATCAAAGCCCCGAAGCCTGCAAAACAAATTAGGAAGTGAGCCCTTTGCATGTTCCCTCTGGGAGTGGTCCAGCTGGTTTCTTCTTTCTGTGACAGAGGTTTTCAGATGCTTACACTGGTGGTGGTGGGGGGGTGATTTATGCAGCTGTGGATGCTGGCCCAGGCTCCACAGATCACCGCCCTGGGCTCTACAACCACCAGCTAATGTCAGAGCCGTGTTGGAGAACGACTCCACATGCACCTACTTGTCTGAAGATGTGGATGTCCTGGCTGCGGGTGATCAAGTGGGCGTTCTTAGCCGTGCACGTGGCCGTTTCCAGTTTGTCTCCGGTCAGCATCCAAACCTGCAAAGAACCGAGAGGAAACGGTTCAAAGGGAACGCAAAAGCACATCCAGTAATGATCTCTGATGAGATGAGAGGAAAATAATGGACACAAAGCAAAAAATTCTAATCCAAATAAGTCATTTTTTCTTAAAATAAGTGCATTTGTTCTTGAACTGAGGAGGAAAGTGAGACACTTTGCCAATTGAGCAATATTATTTACATTTAAAATAAGAAAAAACAGCTGCATTGTCTTATTTTAAGTGCATAATATCTAAATATCTTATTTTAAGAGTAGATATTCCCATTCCACTGGCAGATCATCTTATTTACCTGCTCAAATTAAGAGTTAAAACACTTAATTTATTTATTAGATTGTTTTTGCAGTGTACTTCATGGGAGACGACAGCCTGTAGATTTAACTCTACTGCAACAATAAGTTAAAGTTGCTAAACAAAACAAATGAGACAATATTTTCAATCAAATATTTTGATTTGAAGTATTTTTTTTTACTATGGAGTGAATTTAGTTCCATTATTATTAAGAAAAAAATTTGAAACAAATGTTTTTTCCAAGTAAAATTTTCCAAGTTAAACAGATTTTTTCGAATATCCTTATTTTCTAAATGGGTTTCAGAGATCTAATTCTTTCCACTTCTGGGGTCGGGTTTTCCTGTACAGTGAGGAGTGAAGAAGCATTTCTATTGGTCTGCTGGACGCTAGCAACAACATTTTCATTGGTCAACAGCGAGCGTTTGCGTTGGAGTGAAGAAAATATGATCTGGAAAAAAAACGCTGTTCGCAAAAATCAATTTGAAGAACAGAAATTTAAAAAACAATTCTGCTAAAAAAATATTCAAACTTTCATTTGACAAATAATAAAATATAAAATTCGCACACAAAAAAAATACAACAAAAAACCCCAAAACTAAACTTTGAAAAATCTATGAAAATCTGTTTGGAAAAAAAATAATTCTGAGGTTAAAACATTTTTTTAAGTATTATTTGGGGATTTCCTATTTCTATTTAGACTTTTGGATGGCAACAATACGTTAAAGTTGCTAAACAAAACAAGTGAGACAATATTTTTCAATCAAATATTTTGATTTTGAAATATTTTTTTTAACTATGGAGTGAATTTTGTTCCATTATTATTATTGCAGGCAGACAAAAACATTTTTGTCTAAACAATTTTTTTCAAGTAAAATTTTTCACAGTTTTAGGAATATCCTTATTTTCTAAATGCGTTTCACAGATCTAATTCTGTCCACTTCTGGGGTCGGGTTTTCCTGTACAGTCAGGAGTGAAGAAGAATTTCTATTGGTCTGCTGGACGTTAGCAACATTTTCATTGGTCAACGGCGAGCGTTTGCGTTGGAGTGAAGAAAATGTGATCTGAAAAATAAAAGGCTGTTTGCAAAATCTATTTGAAGAACAGAAATTCAAAAAACAATTCTGCTAAAAAAAAAAAAAATTAAAACTTTAATTTGACAAATAATAAAATATAAAATTTGCACACAAAAAAAATACAACAAAAAAAACCAAAATAAACTTTGAAAAATCTATGAAAATTATTTTGGAAAAAAATTATATTTTTTGTTTAAGTACTTTTTGGGGATTTCCTATTTCTATTTAGACTTTTGGATGGCAACAATAAGTTAAAGTTGCTAAACAAAAGAAATGAGACAATATTTTCAATCAAATATTTTGATTTTGAAGTATTTTTTTTAGCTATGGGGTAAATTTTGTTCCATTATTATTATTGCAGGCAGAAAAAAACATTTTTGTTTAAACAATTTTTTTTCAAAGTAAAATTTTTCAAACAGATTTTTTCGAATATCCTTATTTTCTAGATGCATTTCAGAGATGTGATCTGAAAAAAAAAAAGGCTGTTCGCAAAATCTATTGGAAGAACAGAAATTTAAAAAACAATTCTGCTAAAAAAAAATTTGTAAAACTTTAATTTGACAAATAAAATATGAAAATATAATATTTGGGAAAAAACTAAACTTTAAAAAATCTATGAAAATCTGTTTGAAAAAAAAAATTTATTCTGAGGTTAAATCATTTTTTAAAGTATTATTTTGGAATATCCTATTTTTATTTAGATTTTTGGATGGTAAATTTTAAATTCAAACTTCTTTGAGATGGATAGAAATAAAACGATCCAAAGGGAACGTTCCTTTAATACTATAGAAAGCATTCGTTATCATCCGGTTTCTAGTAAGTTCTGCATTTTGTTTCCACTATAAAGGCCCACCCACCCTGATGCCTGCATTGCGGAGGATCTCCAGAGTTGGTCTGACATCGGTCTGGAGCTGGTCCTCCACCCCCGTCAGACACAACAGCTCCATCTCCATCTCCAGGCTCTCGATCACCGTGGCCACTTTCAGGGAGCGGTCATGAACGCTGAGTTTGGCCTGGACGTACCGCGCCTGGGGAGCAGCACAAACAATGGAGCCACGGCACGTGGGAGGATACAGAAAAATAAATACAGTGATTCACTGGAAGAGAATCAGACGGTAGAAAACGAGGAAACGTCAAGTCTGGCTGCGAGGATAAGAAATGTGAAGCAGGTAAAACATCAGCAAGACAAAAAAAACCTAGAATGATCACATTAATAATAATCAAATACTGCAAAACAGGGGCTCCCAAAGTGGGGGTGAGGGGCTCAAAGTCACAAGAAGTCAAGTAGATGAGCTTCACAACGTTGTGATGTGATCCCAGAGGCATGTGGAGGGCCGAAATGATAAACATAGGTACAATAAAACAAGCAGATGAAATATTAAATGCAAACTAAAATTTTAAATACAGCATAAAATAAAAAAATGTCAGATTAAATAAATAAAATATTTAAAAAATAATTATATAATTTCATCTTATTTTAAAAACAAAACAATCCTTTAGATGGAAATCATAATAAATTTTGACATTTTCATCTCCTCAATTTGAGAAACACATCCACACAGCAACAGGCGACACCCGATGCAAGGGTCTATGTTAAAATAAGTAAACATTTCTTAAAATAGTAAATATTCCCTGAATTTATCAGATAAATAAGACGATTAGACAGCAGGTAAGTATTTCTGCCCTTAAAGGAAGATGACTCGATCCTTTTTTACTTGAGATAAAAAAAACTGATTTTACTTATTTTAAACGTAAATCCTCTGATTTAAAAACTGTCACAAGACTTACCTGCAATGTGAAATATATTTTTTTAATTAATTTAATCAATAGTACAGAAAAAAAGAAAAAAAATCTGATTTATTACCTACTGTGCGGTAACTTATCATCTAACATGAAGATTGAACTCAGGATGTTAATATTGGTTCTTCCTGTTAAAAGGGAGTTTTTCCTCTCCACTGTCGCTACGAGCATGCTTAGTGTGAGGGATTGCTGAAGAGTCAATGAGTCGATGCAATCAACTGGTTTTTCTTAAATAGAAAACTTTGAATCAATCTGACTGGATGATCTGGTTGAACTGTAAAGTGCCTTGAGATGACGTGTTGTGAATTGGCGCTATAGAAATAAACTGAATGGAAAACTGAATTGTATCATTTATGACACTCCATGGCTTCCGTAGAATAATTACATCCTCACCGGTGAGGCATCCGATCTATGGAGTGAATTTTGTTCCATTATTGTTTCAGGCAAATAATGCTTTTGAAAATGGAAATAAAATATATATATATGTATCTTTTGAGAAATTAAACCTTTGAACTAACATGTTTTTAGAGCAACTTTTTTCTTTTCCTAGAGTATAATATTTCAATTGGATATCATTTTTTTTATTATAAAGCACAAACCAAAATAATATATTTTTTTTAAGTATTTTTTTTTTTTATTGTCATTACACTTTCACAAGTACAGCGCACCGAAATTCATTCTCTGCATTTAACCCATCCTCTTGGAGAGCAGTGGGCTGCCATGGTGTGGCGCCCGGGGAGCAGTGTGGGGTTAAGGGTCTTGCTCAGGAACCCAGAGTATCAGTCTGTGAGAGTGGGGCTCGAACTCACAACCTCAGGATTCCAAGCTCTATGCCCCAAACCAGGGGTCGGCAACCTGCGGCTCTTTAGCTCCCCCTTGTGGCTCCCTGGAGCTTTGTCAAAAATTTATGAAAATCGATTTTTTTGTTGTTGTTTTAATATGGTGTGCAGGTTGCAAACAAAAATTTATGTTTTCCAATGCTTTAAACATTTGTATTATAACTAAATGTAAAAAATAATTTCCGTCAAAGCCATAGAGATCAGTGATCATAACTTGGAACCAGCGTGGCCCGTTGCCAGGCAAACAAAGCTGCAGGTGTGTCTCGGAATATGAATCCCAAAGGGAAAAAAAGGAAGACAGCTGATGAGAAAAGAGGATTCAAATAGGCCGACTCATTTGCTTTCATTATCAATGCTGAACGATTGCCTGCATTTTCGCTTTGTAAAGAGAGGGTGTCAAAAAAAAGAGAAAAATTTAGAAAGGCATTTCTAGGGAAGGTTAAATCTGCAGCCCACCACCAAGCTGGGAGGGAGAGAAAAAGTGCGATTGCAGGATAAATTAGAGGAATGCAAAGATAGATTTAAGAAGTGGATTGCATTTCCAAACTCCACTACTGCTGCTAGTTTTGTTGCAAGGATGGAAAACCGTCCACAGATCAAACAGGCAGCGCTCTGATGCAGGTATCTGAACTTTCTTCCATTTTTTCCCCAAATCCTAAAAATATCAATCAGACCAAGGAACGATGGCGACGGAGGATGTGGGATTTCGGGGTAAGAGAGCACAGCTCTGTCACTTCCTGCTTGGTTCCTCATGACTCAATAAACTCCTCCCAACAGAAACACGTCCACCATAGAGAGATTTCTTTATTATGTTTCTATAATTTCATCATTGCAAGAAAACTTAAAGCGTGCAGTGAAGGTGGTGAAGCGGTGCGCGATGGGAGCGTTCACTTTCTTCGTCACCTCAGGCTACTATGTGACATTTGCTTCAGGATAAACATTTAATCATGAATGCCTATTATATATTTAAGCCCATATAGTCCTTTTCTATAGTGGGATAAAACACTTAGAGCCCGTGTTGCTATACGAGGCTTAAATAAGACTTTTACATTTTTGCGGCTCCAGACAGATTTTTTTTTTTTTTTTTTGGTCCAATATGGCTCTTTGTGCAGTTTGGGTTGCCAACCCCTGCCCTAAACACTAGTCGTCCACTCCCCCTGCTGAAATGTATTCCAATGAATGTATACTCCAGAGCAGAAATGAAGGAGTGTACAGCGTCCTTGCTGTGTCCTAAAGTTGAAAAATATCCAGGAATAATGTTAAGCAAATAACCTCTGTAATCCCTAACTCACCACTAGATGGCAGTAAATCTTATACACTGAGCTTTAAATCAAACATTTGAAATATTAAACCTTTTCTCTCTGATATATTTCATTTCCATACTACTGAAAGTGTCCTTTCTTTTGTTGTAGGGAATGTGTGCCACCTAAACCCATCTCTCTGTCACACACCAGAAATAAATATATTTTTTTATTTGCTTTCACACACTGTTGACAACTGTTGTGGCTCCGGCGTCCCACTCTCACCCAGACATGATCAATCGGTTGACGCCCATCTTCAGCTCTGGGGCATCTCAAGTGAGATAAAGCAAAAACAATCTGAGTATGACTCACACAGGAACACAAACTCTGTGTGTGACTCAGGCGGTGACTCACTGCGGCCCACCAGATCTGCTCACTCAATTATACGCTTCAGAAATGCGCCTGGAGCGAACGACTGCAGGGGGAGGCGGCCCGGCCGGGTCCGGTGCAGCCCTGACGATGAGAGGGGCCTTGTGTACGCTGCGTGTGGGAGGATGGGGAAGACGGGGCTTCATGGGAGGTCAAAGGTTAGCCCGATTACCAAGTAACACTCTTTGACATTTTAGAAATTTTATTTGCCGGGTCGAGGCATCAATCAGAATCTGTCTGCTGATGTAACCGGAACATTGAAGATATCCATACCGACTTGGGTCGGACTGATCCTTCTTCTTTATGGAGATAATAACCACAACACCCCCCCTCAGGCTCTGCCTTCCTGTGGTTTAATCTTTAATCTTATAAGTGGTTGATTACCTCAAAATCCTGATACTGTTCCTCACTCAGCGACTTCTTGGAGACCACAAGGACCCTCAGGCCTTCCCTGGCCATGTTTCCACACTAAGAAACAGAACGCAGAGTGGGTAACAGAGGCTCTCAGGGGGAAACGGGGGGGAAAAAACGCAACAGAGAGGCGTTTACCTCCTCTTCCAGCCAGTCGTTGTATTGGACGATGCCCGCCATCACCACATCAGCACCCTTCATGTAGAAAGTTATCTCTCCTGTCGATTCGTCCTGAAAAACAGACATTAGAGAAACTTGACTTTTTCACACATTTTCCTCAGCAACATGAGCTCTGTGACTCTGCGTTGCCTAGAAACCTATTTGGTAACTGTAATAGATTTAATGTCACATTTGTAAGGAAACCAAGTCAAGTTAACAGCTCTCAGGCTTCCTGTGTGAGATAGTGGCCAACAAAAACGATGTTAGTCACCGGAGTGAGTCACAGGCCAGGAGGTGAAGTTTTTCTCAGACAAAATACTTCGGTTTTTTTTTTTTTTTTTTTTGTTTTTCGGTCCAAACAACAGCCGCAATACGCTTCGATGACAAAGCAAGTTCACACATGGACAAAAAAATTGTTGGCAATTGTTTTAATAAAAGAAAAACTCTCAAAGTTAAGAAATAATGAATCTGAGAAAAGTTTAAAAAAATAAAGATTCTCTGAAAATGAACAAATGAAGGGAGACTTTTTGACAGCCCTTCAGGGGGAAGCTGGAGTGGACAGACATCTTGCTGCCTGGACCATCAACTACCTAACTGACCGCCCTCATTTATTTCTACACTGCAAAAAATCTAAATCTAAATAAGTCATTTTTTCTTGCAATAAGTGCATTTTTTCTTGAATTGAGGAGGTAATTGAGACACCTTGCCAATGGAACAAGACAATTTACATTTAAAATAAGAAAACACAAATGCATTGTCTTATTTCAAGTGAAAATTATCTAATTATCTTATTTTAAGACTAAAATTACTCATTCCATTGGCAAATTATCTTATTTACCTACTCAAATGAATGGTAAATACACTTAATTTAAGACATTTTTTTCTTATTTTTAGATGGTTTTTGCTGTGTATGCTTAGTGATGTAAATAATACTCATTTATGAAAGTAGTTTTGTTTATTTTCCAAGAGCAGTGCACTGCAAAAACGACCTTAGACTAAGTCAACATTTCTTAAATGAAGTGTATTTATTCCTAATTTTGGGTAGGAAAAAAAGATAATCTGCCAATGTAATGAGTACATTTACACTTTAAAAAGGATAATTAGATTAATTAGATAATACACACTTAAAATAAGACAATGCAGTTGTTTTTTTTCCCTTATTTTAAATGTAAATTGTCTTGGTCCATTGGCAAAGCTTCACACTTACCTCCTCAATTCAAGAAAAAATGCACTTATTTTATGAAAAAAATTACTTATTTGAATTTTAATTTTTTCAGTGTATTTATGACTGTGGGGCTCTGAGTGCTGCGGCATGCCGCCATAAGAAAGACTGCAAAGACTGAGAAGTTTTTTTTTATCATCACAGAGACACAAGACTTCCAGTTAAAACAATGGCAATCCTCTACTCTCTAGCCACAGCTCCTCTATTTTTACATCTTCAGGAGCCGCTCAGGATCAATATACATCTAATTATGAGAAAAAGTATAGCATAAAGCATGAAAATAAAATATAGAGATGCTGATTCTGTCTTTGTGCAGGAAGTCTTATTATCTCCATAATACGGAAGAGGATTAGGGCCACTGGGGAAAAAAAATAATGTTTTTTTATTTCAGTTTAACATAGGAAAAAAGTCAGAATTCTGACTTTAATCTCAGAATTCCGACTTTAATCTCAGAATTCCGACTTTAATCTCAGAATTCCGACTTTGATCTCAGAATTCTGACTTTTTTCTCAGAATTCTGACTTTTTTCTCAGAATTCTGTCTTTTATTGTCGGAATTCAGTCAGAATTCTCAGAAAAAAGTCAGAATTCTGAGATTAAAGTCAGAATTCCGTGAAAAAAGTCAGAATTCTGAGATTAAAGTCAGAATTCCGTGAAAAAAGTCAGAATTCTGACTTTTTTCCCATACTAAACTGAAATAAAATTTAAAAATCAGTTAACTTTTTTTTTTTTCCCCCACTGGCCCTAATCTTCTTCCGTACCATAAAGTATCAGCTATTAAGTTTAAAAAACTTTTTTTTTAAAGTGACTCTAAAATGCACATCAATGCTAACTTAACTTTGCTGTAAACATTTTCCTCAAACTGAACCATCAGAGGACAGAAAATGCTGATGTAGGGGCGGGCTCTTTAGCTAGCTCAGTTGGGCAAATCTGAAATCTGATTGGTTGAAGAAAACGTTCCTCACTAATATTGTTAAGGCAACATTAGTCGCACTGTTGATTCTGAAAGCTCTGGGCAGATTTGATCGACATAGCAACACAGAGAGGCTGAAATCTGATTGGACAAAAAACACAGAGATTTGTGGGCACTAAGGTTTTCTGTGTGTATTTAATTAATTTTACAATTAATTAATTAATTTTTAATTATTTTACATGAATTGTATTTCTTAACCATAATGTTTTTTTTATGTAATTGGTATTGTAATTTTTACTTGTGATTTTATACTTGTGTTTATTTTTAAAGTTTAGGCTATGAATGTAGGTTAGTTATCTTGATTAATTTTAGGCCGGCACTAACAGCCCACCACTGCTGCAATGCCCTGATCAACCGATAAAGAAAATCCTTTACTTTGTACAAATTTAGATGATTACTTAGGTTACAGAGCAAGTAATAAAATCTGTAAACGATTAAAAAACTTTACATGTCGTTTTTATAATTTAAAAGCTTAATTTAGAACCAGAAAAATTTAGCATAAATGATTCTAAACATTTCAAGACGACTCAGACAAAATCTTTAGTAGTTTTGCTTTATTTATATTTGTTTATTAGTTGATGAACAGCTATGTTTCTACATACCTTTGGATTGTTCTTTGCCACTTTGAGTCAAAATGAATATTATTAAATACAGTGGATTTATTCATTATATATATATTTATATTAGTTAACCAGTGAAAATACTTGAGATTTTTCTATAACTGTGATTTTATTCATAAATAACCCTTCATAGGGCACTCTTTGAGGTACTTTGAAAAAATTCAAGCCAATAGTTTTATTGGAATCCAGGATGAGACCTTATTACCTTTGTAACATTAAAAAAATATGGATATTTGGATGGCAACAACTGTCAGTGTAAATGTCAGTGTAATAACAAGAAACGCCAACTTGCCCAAATATATAGGAAAAATAATAAAAATTCTTCTATAAGAAATTCATGAAAAACCCTTTTTTTGGTACGGCATTTTTAGTTTATAAACCTAAATATGATTGTTAACTAGGCTTATATACTTTTTAACTTTACTTTTTAACTTTTCAATTAGCTTTTTACCTTTTTTTTTTTACTTGTTATCTTATTTGCAGTAGGTAATATATCATTCAAGGGCTCATCTAATTGGTCAAATGCCAAAATCAGATGTACAGCCATGTAGCAGTATCTTTGCTGAATGGGTGAATATAGATCTGGTGCTTCTAGACCTCACTGAGAGTCGGGGGGGATTCTATTTGTTAGGGGTATGCAAGTGATCAAAAACACTAACTTGCCTGATAAAGATTTTAGGAACTCATGACAGATTTTTGTTTCTGTTAAAGAACAAAACCTTGTTTTTTTTTACTCTTAAATACCTAAAAACCATCATATTTTTTTAGAACACATCATAAAGCAACATGAAGCACAGCTATATCTTGAGAAGGAAACAATATCATCATCGTGTCGACACTCACTCGCACTATAATCCCCATCCTTTTGCTCTCGTAGGTGAAGGGGAATATCTGCAGAATGGTGAAGTTCAGGATTTGGCCAGTAGGGGTCCTCAGCTGCATGGAGGATTGGTCTCTTCCCACCAGAGTCAGCCCCACGCTCTCTGTCCACTGCACCAGTGACACCTATCAACACCATGGGGGAAAAGCTTTAGAAGCAATAAAACATGAGACTGTTTGTAATCATTTTGTTCCCTAGAGTTTTAAGAAAACAAAACAGAAATTAGATCAAAATGTGACCCCAACTTTTTTTTTTTTAAATCCTCAATATAAAACATTTATCTCAATATAAAGTTCCTTTTCCTAAGTTTAATGAATAGCAGTTAAATCCACGTTTAGAGACGGGATTAAAAGCATTAAAAGCATAAAGCTTTCAATCAATAATGAAAGCATTTTCAGGACTTATTGATTGATAAACAAGGATGTCCATTTATGAAGAGAAAATGTTTTCTTTGCTTTCTGAAGGACGTTGGCAGGAAAAGGGGGTCGAGTCAGATGACGCATCTCCTTCATGGTCGGCGGGACGAGCGACTGAGGAGCCAAACAGAGACGGAAGAAGGAAGGCCGGCAGGTCTTCTCCTTATCAGGTAACAAAAACAACTAAACAGCAGACTACAGTTCAAAAATGACTTTTAATATAAATATAGGTCATGTAGTCTGACGAGGGGCCTTCTGATGTCAGTGGCTCTGACTAATAAACGACGAGTCCAGGTCGGTGGTTTGTAGATGTTTGCTTAGTCAGAGTCTGGAAATACAAACTGTGGGAGCAAACTTGGATCCTGTATCAACCATAATGGCATCAAGACGTAAAACCAAAATCTGTTCAGTCCATAAACAGCTAAAACGCTCTAACTAGCAGGCCTGACTCAAAACCCATCAGGTATCACCATTCCACGCTAGCATGAGTCACAATTAACCCATGAATGAATCACCAGTGTGGGAACCCGGAAAATGTTAATTCATCTTTACACTGGAAAAATTATGTAGAAATAAGTTAAACATTTCTTAAATTAAGTGTATTCACCCTTAATTTTTGCAGGTAAATGAGATAGTTTGCAATAGAATGAGTATTTCTACTCTTAAAATAAGATAATTAGATAATATGCACTTGAATTAAGACATTGAAATTGTGATTTCTTATTTTAAATGTAAATTATCTTGTTCCATTAGCAAAATGTCTCTTTTACCTCCTCAATCCAAGAAAAAATGCATTTATTTTGAGAAAAATGACGTATCTAGATTTTTATTTTTTTTTCCAGTTTAAACACTAAATCTAAATGCTAAATTTCATTGTGAAAGATTTGTTGTGTGTGTGTGTGTGTGGGGGGGGGGGGGGGGGGGGGGGGGGATAATCCCAATCCTTTCATGTGAAACGGTTGCCTAAACAAAAATCTCTCAGCAGATTTATTTACACATTTGTTTTTTCTTTTGTTGTATCTTCTATTTTTTAAAACTTGTTCTTCCTGCTAAAGTTTAACGTAACGTAAAAGTAATAAAAGTAAATCCACCTGTATATAAGCCATCCGGATTGTACATATTTTTATTTCTTTATTTCTTATTTTGTTTTTCATTATGTGCGATACATGTACACTTGCACCTTAATCCTTATTTATCTTGATATACTGTATATATATTGTTTATTGTTTGTTCTTCATGCACCTTTTTCCTCCTTGTTTGCACCTTCTTTGACTTTTATGCCAATATAATGAATTTCTCCGCTGTGAGATCAATAAAGCTCATCTGTTCATCTAATCTAATCTAAAGTGGAGTTTTTTCTCTCCACGGTTGCTGCATGCATGCTGGTTGTAAGGGATTACTGCAGAGTAATGCTACGTTCACACTGGACGCAGCAGAAGCAGCGAGTTTACATGCAAAGTCAATGGTTGACGCGCGTCAAGGCGCAGCAAAAGGTCCCGCAGCGCGTTTTGAGCAGCAGGCGCAGCACGTCGGGAGCATTTATGCATCTGACGCGCGTGACGCGCCGCAAACGCACCGCTGCTCGAGATGGAAAAATTTAACTTTTGCTGCTCGAAGCACCGCATCAACCAATCAGATAAGCTAATCTGGGAGCTGGCAGAGAAACAAAGATATCGCTGATGACACAGAGTGCTGTGATCACTCCTCTGAAACAGTTTATTAACGCCTAAATTAACTTAAAATGCTGAAACATGCCAACAGAATATGTTCGCTTCTATTATCCTGTTGCCTGCAGTTTAGATTATTTAGATGAAAAACACCTACCAGCCGCCGCAGTGAACCGCGAGGAGGCGACCCGGCCAGAGGCTGCTGATGAAGGGATTCCTACTGACAGCGCACCGCTGGTATGTGGGGGTCTGAGCGGCTCCGACAGAAATAATATTGGAAGGCAGGATGGTAATCTGGATGAACTGACTGCACTGATTAAGTTTTCAGGTGGACTTTATCACTTAAAAACATATTAAAACTACTTTATTCCCACTGATCACAGCAAATATAGCTGCAAGGCAGAGAAAGGATAGAGTAGCTCCGCCCAACGTGCGTCAGACACACTTTTTCACCGCGCAGCAAAGATGCTTCAGCCGTGCGTCAGAACTAAACTCGTACAATTATAAAACATGAAGCAGCAGACGAGTTTTTGCTCCGGTGTGAACGCAGCATTACGACGTCTACTTATCCAGGAGGAGAGAATCCTGCAACATCAATAACTGGATGCAATCAGCTGGTTTTCCCTTAGGCCCGTCCACACGAAGTCAAAACGAACACGAAACGCTGATATTTTCCAAAACGTTTGCAGTAAAGACGGAGACGTAAAATAAATGTGATCGTCCACACGAATGCATGAAAACGCTGCAAAATGTATGCCAGGCCTGTAAGTGGCGCTGTGGTGCCAAAGCAAAAATAAGCGACGAAATGTTGGGCATGCGCACTAATATTCATACATGGTTGCCCTGCGGGTCCATTTTCGTGGTTCAGTCAAATTCAGGTGCTGAACTATGTGGTCGATATTGCTCTGTTCTTCCTGGAGATATTCCAGAAGAAGAAGATTCTGTTGTAAGCCCGACAGCAGGGTGAGTAGCATTAGCAGCAACGGCGCCATTGTTGTTGTGATGTGTCGCGCATGCGTGTTTAGAGGCGACGCTATGACGCATGCGTGTAAAAAAAAATATGCGGTTAGAGCGCAAAGATGGAAACGCGAAAACGGCGTTTCGAAATCTTCCCACTCTGAAGGCTGAATTAAAAAAAAATCGTTTACAGACCCCCGAAACGCTGGCTTCGTGTCGATGAGAGGCTGGTTTGGTGAAAAATTTGTGCGTTTAGGCCAGGGTTCGTCTTCGTGTGGACGGGGCCTTAGAAAACTTCTAACCAATCTGACTGGATGATCTGATTGATTTATTTTTGTAAAGTGAACCAAATAACATGTTGTGAATTGATGCTATGGAAATAAACTGAATCAAATTGATTTCATTGTCTAATTGTTTTGCCACTAGCAGGCATACATTTCTCAAACGTGTGACAGCAAAAAGATCTATTCCACTTTAACTGTAGGTTTTAGTTTTTAAGTAGATCATTTGGAATGGAAAACGATTATTTTCTTCCTCTCTGGTGAAGAAATAGCTCAACGCAGAAGCAATTTTATTAAAAAAAACAACAAGACATACCACTCACGTTGCGCAGACAGATATCTGTTAATCTTTAGTCAGGAAATGCCTACAAGGAAATAATTACTCACCATAATTGGAACAAATCTAGTCAGTAATAATTAACAACTGGAAGTGTGAGAAACTGAGAGAGAAGGAGAGCAAACTATTTCAGCAGACTGAGTGGGATAGTAAGGCAGGTAAAGCCATTAAAAACCATCCAGAACACAGGAAGGTTTTTTTTTCTTTGTTTTGTCACCAAAAGCATAAAACATGCGGAGTTTCCTAATTTCTCCTGAAACTCTTAACTGGAACCAGCCGTTTTGGGCAGATGAGTCTAACAATGACCTTTTCAGGTATGATTCAGAATGATCTGGCACCAAATAAAGAAAAGAATCTAATAGTGTGGTCAAAAGTATTGTTACTCAAAAAAATTATCTTAACTAAAACGTTGTATCCGGATCAATACTCATTTCAAAAGTATCGATACCACTGAAAAGTGTTATTTTCTTTCTTGAAGTCACAGAATGGTAACCTGACTCTGCCAGATGGATTTTCTCCACATATCCATCTGGAAACCTTCCGTTGAAGTAATTTTGGGAAGGGGCGAAAATACTGGTTAGCCGATTGGCCTATGTTGGTGATAGACGGGCAAAATAAACCAATCAGATCAACGAAGCATATGACGTACTAACAGAGCGACGACGAAGAGGAGCCAGTTGATAGATCAAACTCTTGCCGAAACCAGTCGGGAGAAGAGCAAAAACATCTTTTCCTCTGAGAAAAGCCTCCAGAGCAGTGTTTTGCTCTTCTTTCAGTGAAGAAATACTCTGTAATTCCGATAAAACTTGCTCGATAGCCACGCTAACGCTAGTTTCATCGGCTGAAGCCGCCATGTTCTTTAGAGTGAACTGTCGCGCTTCTCGTTGCGTCACACCTCAACCCGCCTCAAAGCCAACGCTGATTGGACGTTCGTTTGGTGAACGGCTCCAAATTTTCTTTAACGGAGAGTCTCCAGACTGATCTGCGAGTGAAACCTTGAAAGCTCGCGAGATCAGGATGGTCTCACGAGGCTAACAGAATGAAGCAGAGGAAAGTAGACCTGCGTCCAAACACCATCAAACAGCCAATTCTCCATGTTTGACCAACATTGGATCAGGTTCCTATTTACCTGAAGAAACCTGGGTTCCAAAAACTTATTAAGCAGCAAAACCCAAGGTTTGCTCTTCCCTCCAAGAATACAGCATTTATTTTTGTTTTTGATAACTGGTTTGGCTAGTGTCATTGTTATGTGTGTAAAGCATAGCCAAGGAAGGAACACTTAACACTTACACTATGCAACCGGTGTTGATTTTCCAGGGAGGCTCCCCCCAGAGGGCGAAACTAAAAGTGCACTGTCGTAAATATGCTCAGCTGTTCTCCTGGTTTCTCCGTCAAGCCAGGTGCCATTGTTTAGAGCTTAGCAGACAGGCGAACGCAACGAATCACCATGTCTACTGCAGTAAGCGCGCTTTCGCCGTTTCCTCGCTGGTTCCGCCATGATAACTGCACAAATATCGCCACTGTGCTAGCAACGAGCATGCCTTTCACTGGGGGCGTGTAGCAGTTCTCGCCGTAAAGCAAGACCGACTCTCGCGATGCACGAGACTTCTGAGCCTGTGGGTGCGGGCCGAGGGCTCTTGCAATTGCAAGTACGGTATTTCCCATACAGACCACCAGGGCGGCCGAGAAAACCTTTGTTCGACCTGAAATGACTCATTTAATCATCCAGAACTTTATGGAACACATTAATTAACTGAAAAATGTTGCATAGTATGCCTTTAATATTGTGCACAGCATACAACCTCAAAATATTGTTCTGTTTTATTGTATTTATCTATTGTTTTTTATTTATTAATAAAAACATTTCTGTTACATTTTGGGGACTTTGTTTTTATCCTTGTGGTACTGGAAATTATTAAAATATTTTCCTGAATATCGGTATCATGTTGAACATTTTAGTATCGTGACAACCCTGGAATCTAATGTCTGATGATCAATACGGCGAAGGATCTGTGAGGATTTCCCCTCAAAAAAAGGTTTTTGGAAACATGGAAGCTTCTAGCACCAGTTAAAAAAAATATATATATATGTATCACAAAGTCACAAAAACGTGGCAAAGGTTATATAGTAAAAACTGTTTTTATAATGTTGTATTTATGGAGCGAACTTTGTTACATTTTTTTCTAAATGAAAATTAATTTTTTTTTAAATGCAATTCTGATACAAAATTCTGAAAAATGCCTTGATCAAGATTATTTTTCAAAAGTTTAGTGTTTTACATTTTTTTTTACATATTTTTAGGGCTTAAACAAGCAATCTTTTAATTTATCTTTTGTATTTTTTGTAAAGTGACCTTGAGTGTCAAGAAAGGCGCTGTTAAATAAAATGTATTATTATTATCATTAATATTATCTGATTAATCTTGATCAATTAATTTTTAAATAATCTACAGCTAATTAAGTAATCAATTATTTGTCAACTGGACTACAGACTGTAAGACATGCCTTTAGCTGACAGAGCGACCCACTTAAAGCAGTAATTATCTAAAAATTGCAAATAAATATAAAAAAATCAAGATAAAAAAAAAACAAAGTTTCATCTGTCAATATGCTCTATCAGAAACACCTCAAGTGGAAAAGTTTTAGTTTAGCTGGTTTAATTTAATTTAAAAAATCTTCTTTAAGGAACCTTTTGTTATCCGATTATTAATCAATTAATCAATTTCCAAAATAATCATTAGTTGCAGCCCTAATTATTTTATATAATCAACTTTTATTTTTTATTTTTCAGCTGTTTTCTGCAATCCCCCCGTTGCTCTTGCTGCAGCATTGATTCCTCTCTGCATATATTGATGCTAGATTACAGAAATCCGTCCCTTGAGTGTTTTGTGGAACAGCTGCGTTTCCAGGTACAACATTTGCAGATTTGATTTAATTTCTACTTAAAGCACTTAGATTATTGAGGAGCCGTCAGTGGGTGGGTGGGGTTTTTTTTTTTTCTAATTGAACGATGGTAGCAGAAGAAGCCGCCCCCACTTGATGCCAGGGAAATGTCCTGTTTAGCTAAGCATCCAGAATGGGCTGCAAGTGGAGCTCTGCTGCTCTAAAAACTGCAAATCACAATTGATTTAAGGTTTTTTATTTTAGGTTCAGTTGTTTTATTGTGGGGCACAATTGAGTTCAAAGAGGTTGAAGTGTAGCAGATTTAAAGCCCCTTTCACACCTTGATTTAGACCAGCGTATGCCTGATGTACGAAAGATCTGGCAAAAACGCTGGCATTCGTTGGATAAGTTATGGGTACGATTTGTACGAGTTATGTGCGCGCTGAAACACCTCGTGTGTGTGGGCCATAAGTTCCAGGTCAGTTATCTGATCGATGACGCACGTTAAGTGTAATTTACTCATAAGTCGTGGCGTCTAGCTTATCCAAAACCTATGAGTAACTTGTGCATAACTCATCAAGAACTTCTCTCCAACGACTATCAAGGTATCTGACGTGTTCCAGATGAGCGCTGAACGTGTTTCTAACTTCCAGCTACCGTTTAATGGCGTATTGGCAGCGTTTTGGTATAAAGGGGGTTCACAGGAGGAAACCGTCGGTTCTCCTCCAGACTTCATCCCCATCATAGGGTGAGCCAAAAGGTGAGAGTGATGGATCCTTCCTGCGTCCATGACAACGGCCAACAAACTTCATAGCAGAAATGACGCTGAATCTGCTGCGACTGCAAACCCTCTTTCTTTCTTTTCTCTTTTTTTTTTTGGGCGGGCGGGAAACAGCAGCTAGGTTAATACAGCGATCAAAGACGTCTATATATGCAGACCGTGCGCCTCCGGGCACATCGTTGCCCCCCTCAAGACACTGGCTTGTGCATCATTTCATGGGCATTATGCTGCCGTGCCTTATGTATAAATTAGGCTGTCATTGGACATGAGATCTGGACTCGTTATGAATATGCTATGTATATGCCCAAGATTGAAAAAAAAAAAATCATAGAAAGTTCAGCGTCTGTCAGCGTTCTAGGGCAGTGGTCCCCAACCACCGGGCCGCGGACTGGTACCGGTCCGTCGGTCATTTGGTACCAGGCCGCACAGAATAATTTATCGACGATCAGAGTCTGAGTGATGTTTTATTTTGAAAAATATTTTAAAAATTGGGGTATTCTCTCCCAATTACATCAGTCGGCGCATCTGTGCCTCTTGAAACAGGTTAATTCAGGTCAACGCATCTTATCTATAACCCTAACCTGCATCCTATTTCCTGCGTTTAGGGCGACCAAAACAAAGCTACGGAGCAGACTGGACATCAGGAGCACACTTTGTGTCATTGTATCCGGTTATGCTTAGATGGGACCGGCTTGTTTTGGAGAAACAAGCTCAGGGCTCCCATTAATTCAAAATAATGGTCAGTTTTATTTTTATGCTGTTTTTATTGGATTTTATGCTAGTCGGATCATTTTATTTGATCATATTTACCCCCCACACTTTAAAGGCCGGTCCGTGAAAATATTGTCTGACATATAACCGGTCCATGGTGCAAAAAAGGTTGGGGTCCGCTGTTCTAGAGCATACGCTGGCTGAGTCAGCAAGGTGTGACAGGGTCCCAAGGTAACAGCAGAGATTCAAGGTCCTCCATTTTTAAACAAACTTTATTCCATAGCAGGACTTTTTATTTGTTTTGATTTTTGGAGCAGCATTCCATCAGTATGGCAGAAAGAAACCATAAGCGTTTCTCCCAGTAGCTGGTTTGTACCTCATCTGGGCTAGATGCCTGGTAGACCCTGCATGTGTCCTCGTAGTGCTGCTCCGCCTCGGCCTGGTCGGTCACACCGTTGGACTCGTACACCGGGGTGACGTTGTGCACCAGGGCGATGGCTTTCACAGCCTCGTGAACTCGGCTACTGATGGTCTTTCGTACCTTGGTGGCTGCAGGAGCTCTGGAGGCCGGTAGGTCATGGGTGGGCTGGGGACAAACGCAGAATGCAACATCATTAAAACAACGAAAGTAATCCATTTTAAAAATAAAATTAAACATAAGTGAACTTTATTGATCGCACTCCGGAGAAAAGCAACTCTCTGCATTTAACCCATCCCCCTGGGATGTGGGGATCAAACCGGGTCCTTGCAACCTTCTCAGAGCACAAGATCACTGCTCTAACCACTGGACCAACACTCCCCCAAAACCAATACAAGCTACCTGGTTAATGCGCTGTCATAGCCACTCAGCACTGTTCATTTGAGTCACTAATTTAGTGCTACTTGGTCCCAATATAATTTCCCATTAGGAACCTGCTAGCACTAAGCTGCTAACTGGTAGCGATGGTGAGATGAAGCCTCATGAGGCATTGAACCGTTTGGCCAAATTGCTTCAACGATCCCCACAGTTCATGAGGCTTCATGTGAATATGTCACCACCTACTGGTGGACAGCAGAACTACAGTTTTTAATAAAATCTGTGTTTTTTTTCCAACCGTTTTTCTTTTTTTCCCCTTTCAAGTTCCCTTGAAATTGTTAACGGTTGGTGTGTATAATAAAATCTTTTGTAATTTTTTTCAAAAAATGTTTTAAAAGTCAAAGACAGGTCTTGAACCATCAACGTCTAGAGTGAGAGCCTGTCTCTTGCAGATGATGCCACCTAAGTAGATGGCCATAGGAGGGAGAAAATACTAGTTAACAGTAACGTGTCAACACTGACTTTGTCCGGTGGTTTGCTCAAGTTTTGATTATTACATTGTTTATTCTAACCAAATTAGTTTTAAAGGAATAGTACACCCAAAACATGATAGCCTTCATTTTCTACTCACCCCCATGCTGAACAACACTCTGGAGTACTTTTTTGATATCTCAAATGCATCTGGAGATCTGGGAGGCTTCTTGCTGTCTGCTGACATTCAAATAATGGAGGTCTATGGCGCCCGAGGCAGAAAGGTCCATAAAAGTCCACAAAATACGTGTCAATATTCCTCCATACTGCTCGTCCAATGTATTCCAAGTGTCCTGAGTGGGTAGCGTCCATAATTTACTCGAAACGAAGTCATTTAGAATGTTTTTAGAGCATAAACAGTAGTGTATAGCGACAGACCAAACCAGACGAAAGTGCGCATTCAGCTCGGCAAAGAACTCATGCTCTTCCTCAACACTGAAGTCCTCAGACATTTTTCTTTCGTTGTTTCTTTCTTTGCACAGGTAAACAGCACATTTCTTCTTCTACGCTTGCATTATCGGCAGAGCAGACGCTGAATGCGCGCTTTCATCTGGTTTGGTCTGCCGCGGTTTCCGTAGACTCATGAACGCGCTTTTAGGAAATCCTATACACTACTGTTTATGCTCTAAAAACATTCTAAATGACTTCGTTTCGAGTAAATTCTGGATGCTACCCACTCAGGACACTTGGAATACATTGGACGAGCAGTATGGAGGAATATTGACACGTTTTTTGTGGACTTTTATGGACCTTTCTGCCTCGGGCGCCATAGACCTCCATTATTTGAATGTCAGCAGACAGCAAGAAGCCTCCCAGATCTCCAGATGCATTTGAGATATCCAAAAAGTACTCCAGAGTGTTGTTCAGCATGGGGGTGAGTAGAAAATGAAGGCTAATCATGTTTTGAGTGTACTATTCCTTTAAGCAACTACATTGGTTGTTTTTCCAACCAATCTATTCTTAGAATCAATCCAAACTCTATCCAGCTGATAGCAGCTCTCCTCCAAACTCCAACATCTTGACCGAACACTGAGGCTGTTTAGATGCCTGTCAAAATTCTTGCGCTTTCTGAACCACTTCCCGAAGCGGTCACGTGGTATCACGGTAGCGAGGCATCGGACGTCATTAATTTTGGCCCCGCCTCTAAATGAATGATGCCTCGACACGCGCTTCGGGGAAACGCCCCCTCCATTACTCGACACACACCTCTGAGCCTCGGCTCATCTCATAACATCACTACTAACTGGTTAGCAAGATGCTTCCCAGACAACGGCCCCAACCAACTTGCTTGTGAATCTTCCGCCACAACAATCCCGCCCCCTTGATAAACGACCTATCTCATCAGTTTATTCACTCGTGTAAAGTCGTCCACCACTTCGGAGAATTCAGAAATGCAACCGTTGGAACGGCCACTTCCTTACGATTTTAAATATCAAACAATCATTCCAGCCATTGAATAAGGTAAACATGCCCACTGTTATATTCAATACCAGCACAGGAATGGCAGGTGATGTTAAGCAGTAACTATATATCAGGAACGAGCGCAGCACTAATATCTGCTGGGATGCTGATGTCATCGGCTGTAATTCATTAAAAATAATTGTATCATTAAAAACAAATCAGCACCAAGGACAGTTCTACCACTGAAAAAGTATCCGGAGCTTAATGGCACTGCATGAAAAGTGGGATTTTCGCCAATATGCGGCACTGTAGATTGTCGTGGAACTTCAGGTTAGCGGCAGTTTACGACAATTTGCAGGCTTCGCTGAAAACTCCCGTAAATTGTCAGAAATTGACGTGGACTCTCTTAGGCAGTGTTCCCCCCTTGCCTCCCCCCCATGGAATTCTAGGGGAGGCTTTAACATGTAAATTAACATGCTGTGAGCTATACAAATGCAAACCAGGGTTGCAGGGGGGGTTTTACTCCAAGTGACATTTTTCTAAAAGGTAAGAATACAAAGAGATCAGGCTCAGTATAGCCTCTTACATTTTAGCTTGAATTGATTTATTTAATTAAAGTATAGAGACCAAAACAGATCTTTAGCTGACAGAGCAATACATTTAGAGCAGTAATTATAAAAAAAAAATTGCATTTAAGATAAAAAATAAAATGTTGTCTGTCAATATGCTCAATTCACAATTACTTAAGTGGAAAAGTTTCAAGAAATGAGTCTGAGATGATTCACTTTATAACATGGCGCATTATCCTGTTGGAAGTAGCCATCAGAAGATTGGTACACTGTGGTCATAAGGTCCGGCCAGGTCAAGATCCGCAATTGCAATCGCACCAAACAGGAAAAAGAACATCGACAAATTCCGGTTCGTCAAATTAAAATATAGCAGCAACAGATCGGTGACTAGAAATTATAGCACAATTCTTATATATATATATATATTAAAAAAAAAAAAACTAACACCGTTTATTTAAATGATTGGATCCAAACTATTGGTTATTCACCAACGAGGAAGCAGATTTCTCATCTCCATCAAAATATTTATTTTATACCGAGGGACTTAAACTTTAATCAAATCCATTCAAAAGAAACTTCTTATTACAGGAATGAAAAGAGATGCTGAGTTTGGAAGTAGTGAACAAGTTCATTAAAAAAAAGCAGTTTTGAATTATCCTTATCCCCGTTACAAAAATCTACAAAAATATATATATATATATATTTGGGCAGAAACTGAACATATGCTGGATGATGGTGGGATTTTTTTAATATGTCATATTAAATTAAGCGCTCACAGGGTTCATACAGGAATGAGTGACTCTAATTTAATGCTATTTAAATGCTATTAGAAATGATTTTAATGCCATCAACAAGAACCATGTACACAAGTTATTAGTGTACATGAAATATGAAGGAGCTGCAAGCACAGTTCCATGACTCCTGTATGTATGTAAACACACACACACACACACACACACACACACACACACACACATATATACGTATATATATATCCTCTAGCTTTTTCTCCGCCTGGAGCGATATAATATATCTGACGAAATTGTTTTTATAAGCATTTTTTATTAAAGAATTATAAATACTTCGATAAACATATTTAAATAATTTTAGTGCCAATTAAGGCCTTGATTTAAAAAAAAAAAAAGAATGATTTTTTAATTATTTTTATTGATCCGCGGAAACCCTGGTTCATCTCGCGCATGCTCTGTACGATCTCCAAGAAACTCAGAGCGGCGCGGCTGGATCCACAGTGGAGGATGTATGCTTTGCTTTGTGCAGGCGGTCTGGAGCGGAGAATGGGGGATTTCGGGGTAAAACTCCTCTTGGACGCGATGGCGACTCTGCATCGAACAAGACGAACTCAAAGAAGAGATGCTAGCGGTAAATATATGTTCGATTACTGCCTGCTAGGCTAAAAGCAGCCTAGCCTAAGCTATGGCTAATAGCAGCCTAGCTATTAGCCTATCTAGCCTAGCCTTGCAAGAACAAGCTTTATTAAAGTGCATTTTTTGTGATTTACAGGAAGCAGTACGCCGTCTTCACAACTCGGAGACTAATTGCAGGCGCTATGAACCGGAGCAAGGGTAAGATTTAAAGAATATGCTTTCATTCTGCGGTAAAAGGCAATGGATACGGATGGATACCGATCATAGCTATACATTTTGTTTTCACAGACCTCCTATTTGCTCGGAGCCATAATCAGCAAGTCCAGATTTGCACGATGTTGATAAAGACGACATTGTGTGTAAGTGACTTGTTTTAATGTTTTCTCCTTCCTTGTTACTGTGACTTGCGTTTGATTTTTTATTTATACCACTCTCATTTAATTGTTTTCCAGCTGCCTGTAAGACGTATTTTCAGACGGTACGCAGGAGCTTCAGATATACGCTGCCAGCCACACGCTGCGTGCGGAGGCTATCTGCTCGGAGTCGGGCCAGAAGAAAGAGGGTAAGACTTTATTTGGTGACTATTTTTCAGGTGCATTAATAGATGTGTTGTGTCCATACGCAGTGCGCTGATTCATTGTTTTTTTTTTTCAGCTGCTGAAAGCGAGGCAGAGTGTGCTAGCAGATGAGGAAGTGGAACTCTGGAAGTCCGCCTTCCTCGGCGGTGTCTCTGGATGGATTGTACGGTCGCCGCCATTTCGTAGGCCGGATCTCACTGAACTCTGTGTTAAGCTGCAGTCCCGGTTAGAAGCGATGCTGAAGTACAGGGCCACGCACAGTAGGCGTCTGCACATCGGACCTGCCTCGGAGGGAATGCTGCCAGTTACCTCCAACCCCGAGGAAGCAAACGGACCGTTCACGGACTTTTAATTTTTAGAAACGCATGTGTTTGGATACGCGTTGTATATAGTTGTGTGTGTTTTAATAAAGCTCTTTCTTTGCATAAACAGCTTCCTGCAAATGTTCATTTCCTGTATAAATTCATTCATGTCCTTGATGGTAGCATAATAATTGTGTAGTAGTGTAGGATAACATAAATACACACCATATGAATGAATAAATATATGAATGAATAAATATATGAATGAATAAATATATGAATGAATAAATATATATATATATATGAATAAATATATATATATGTAAATTTATATGTAAATATATATATATGCCAACCAATCACGAGCGACTTTACTTGTTTAAAAAGAAGTGGTTCCGTCCAATACTCAGTAAGAAAATTAAAGCCTGGCGTGGCCACGTGTGGTTTTGCTGCCAATCACGAGCGATTTCATTTGTTTGAGAATAGTGGTTTCAGCCAATACTGAGTAGGTTATTCAAGCCAGACCTGGCCAGCCGCGCGGGTTTGCTGCATTCATATGCTAATTAGGGCCATTAGTACAGCTGATCGCTCTCCACATACGTCAGAGTCCGTTTCCGACAATTTGTGGCACGACAAACGCGGACAAGCACGGGTTGCAAATTGTCGGAAACTGACGAAAATCAGGCAGATCTGCGGGAGTTTACGGGGACGAAAATCTCACTTTTCATGCAGTGTGGGGGGATAGTTGACCTCTGGGTGACCTAAAAAATAATCTTAGAGTTTATTTTGGTCTCTTAAGTGGTGACATGTAAGGGATTATTGTAATATTATCTCTGACTGATTTTTCATGTGAACAAATTAAATGAGATCTAAGGCGCCTCCTATTTATTCAGAGCAGCTGTCTAAACTTTGGTCCTATCCAAGATGTCCGCCCTCTAGGCACGTCAGCCAGCGTCCAATGAGGCGTCTACGGAAGAGGATTAGGGCCACTGGAAAAAAAAAAAAAAAGTTTATTGATTTTTAAATTTTATTTCAGGTTAACATGGGAAAAAAAGTCAGAATTCTGACTTTAATCTCAGAATTTTTGATTTTAATGTAGATGGGCACCATGAAGGAAGAGATGTGGGAGCACTCAGCTTCACTAACAAACATGTGAGTTGTTTGAGGTGGCCAGTGACACATTGGTGGAAAATTACGGAATTAGGCAACTTTTTACGTGCCTGAGGGGTCCCCTCATTAATGGAGGAGCAGAAGGTCATTAAAATGAGAGAGCTAGTCTCTAAAACAGACATGGCTATGGCTTGATGCTAACATGTTTGTTATCTGTCAGAATTCTGTGAAAAAAGTCAAAATTCTGAGATTAAAGTCAGAATTCTGACTTTTTTCCCATATTAAACTGAAAAAAAAATTAAAAAATCAGTTAACTTTTTTTTTTTTTTTTTTCCAGTGGCCCTTATCCTCTTCGGTAGGCGTCTGCGTATATAATTTCTATGGTGGAAACAGATACATTGTGGAGAAGAGAAAACATCCTGTGAAGTAGCTGCCTCAATTGTCCCCATTTGTTGTCCCATTCTGCAGTCCTGCCAGCAGATGGCGCCCTGTCTGCTTATCGTGCTGCAATTTTGTTGAGACTAAGAAAAAAAATAAACTACTTTAACACTGTCAGGACAAATGCTTTGTGTATATCACCTTAATTTACCACAATCAAATGGTTTTTGGTCTTTTATTTGGCTGAAACAATGAACTGAAATAATCGTCAACTAATTTAGTAATCGATTAATTGTTAAAGGAAGTATAGACTGTAAAATACACTGGAAAAAACAAAACTGGATAAGTAATTTTTTCTTAAAATAAGTGCATTTGTTCTTGGATGAGGAGGTAAAAGAGACATTTTACCAATGGAACAAGACAATTTACACTTAAAATAAGAAAACACAATTGCGTTGTCTTATTTCAGGTGCATATTATCAGATTATCTTATTTTAAGAGTAAAAATACTCATTCCATTGGCAAACTATCTCATTTACTGACTCAAATCAACGGTAAATACACATAATTTAACACAATTTTACTTATTTCTAGATCGTTTTTCCATTGTATGCCTTAAGCTGACAGAGCGACCCACTTAGAGCAGAAACATTGTAAAAAAAATAAGTAAATATTTTGCATTTAAGACAAAAAAAAACGTTTTCATCTGTCAATTTGCTCTATCCAGAACTCCTCAAGTGGAAAATTTCAGTTACACCTCGTTTTTCATATTCAATTTCATAAAAAATCCTCTTTAAAGATCCTTTTGCTATTTTAGTAATTGAAAAAATAATCGACAGATTAATGGATTTGCAAAATAATCGTCAGCTGCAGGCCTAGTGTAGACGTATAACGCGACTCTTCCCCTTTGAACGATACGACCTAATCACGTTTCAGTAAAACTTTTCCACAGCATAAAGTCAAATAAAATGCTTTAATTATGCTGTACATTCATTTTATTGGGTCTTATAGTCAATACGTATGTATCTATAGTTCAACCTAACAAAGTCTCTGATTCCTGCCAAAGTGTTTCTAAAAAAGGAGCAGAGATCTTTCAGTCTCTGCTCAGATAGGGCTTCTGTAAACATAACCAGATGTGTCGAGTAAATATAAATGATTTTTGCATCGTGGTGGAGTTATTTTTGGAAGGCCGTGTGCTCCAAGGGTTAATGACGGCGTCATTAAAGAAGTCCTGTCAGCGCTTCGCTTGTGGGCTGATCCTGTTTCCTGCTTCACTAACCTCTGGTGTCAAGGGGACAAAGAGTGTCATATGAGATCAGGAAGCGTTCAGCCAAACTCAACTCTTTCTAAACATAATGCTTTTTTTTATATATATTTTCCTCCTTTCTGATCCTTTTCAGTGTTTTTCTCTCTTACCTGCGTGTATGCACTAAACACATGGCTCTGTACTTCGTCCATAGAGTCCATCCCATACGCCACAGTCCCAAGGTGGAGACGCCTGAACACCATTTCATTCTGGGTAAGGGTGCCTGTTAAAAAAACAAACAAACAAGGTTGTTATGGAGTGCATTTTGTTCCATTATTGTTGCACGAAAAGAATGTTCTGTTAATGGAAATCTGAAAAAAAAAGTAGTCCAGAAAATAAACTTGAAAAAAAAACATTTAAAATGGTTTTAAGAGTAACTGTGCTCTACTGCCGAATTTTATTTTTTCAAACTTTTTTCTTTTACAGAAAAAACAAATTTTGAAGAAACTTTTCAGGCTTTTTCATAAATTTTGTTTCAGGTTTTTTTTTATAAATTTTGTTTCTTCTAGTTTTTCTTTTTTTTTTTTTACAGATTTAATGTTCTTTTTTCTTCATATGAGATAAACACAGATTTTAAAAAAGATTATCAATTATTTAGATATAGCGTAATTTAACCTTGTTTAAGAAAGACTTGAAAGGACTTCCGTTATCCATCATAACTTGACTCAGGAGGATAAAAACTTGAGACGTGCGAAATAATTACTTGCTCTTACAGGGTTCCTACAGCATAAGGCAAGTTAACTTCAAGACCTTTTAAGACTTTTTAATGCCACTTGAAGTAAAAATTTAAGACCAAATCCACAAGAAACACAGAAAAACCTGCTTGCGACAACTTAACCCAAAGGTTTATTTTAACATAAACCACTGCACTACTGTTTCAAATTTTGAAAAGCTTCCCATACAGGAAGAAAGCTAAAAACACACAAATGACAGATATATTTTAACAATTATTTAACTGAATTCACAAACTTTGTTTTAGCAGGGAACAAAACAAATCAGTTTTAAAGCCCCAACATAACCAGTGCTAAGTCTTTTTTGCAGCTATTTTTCTTTGTATGGTTTTCTTAGTATGTTTGATTTGGTGATAAGTGGAGGCGTTGCAGAGACAAGGGTGGAACTAAACTGAGAAATACCGGCTGTTTCTCTGTAACTCCATTTTGACGCTTTGTGTTTCGCGCTTCGCATGTGCGACTCCACTGCCTTAATTCCCATCGTTCTGAGCTTGAATGACTTCTTGCACTAAATCCACTGAGCCTCATGTCTGTTCCCTGGTTTTAGCCATGGAGAAAACTCTTGGCTGGAGACTATTTTGGTTCCATTTACACTTGCTCATGTTTTCCAGACAAAAAGTTAATGGTGCATCTCCAAAATGTCCCGGCCGCAACAACGCTTTTATTGGTTCCGCTATCGGGACGGAACCAATAATGGCGAGCCGTTATTTTTTTTAAATAAAAAAAAAAAATTGTCCATTTTAATGTTTTATTTAGATTAAAAAAATAAATCGTAATAAAAATAATCCTATATCCTTATGATGTTTTAAAAATTAAGACCTACGAAAGACTGATTTAAGACATTTTAATACCAATTAAGGCCTTAGTTTTATTTTGAAGAACCCTGTCTTACCTCTAAATTTGGATGTGCTGGTTTTAAAAATTTAACGGCTAACGATTCTTTGAAATCCCCTAAAAATATTCTATACCTTGTTTTTTTTCCACCTACAATAACCCATTCCTTTTGCAAGACATTATAGGAACTCAAGAGAGACAGAGCAGCATCATTCAGCTGAAAATAATTTGATCCCAATAATCGAGCTGAAGCAGATTTAGCAGCTGACAAGCGGTAACTGAAAGCCAGAAGCCGACCTCTGAATCCTCACACTTACTTTAAAAGCATTTTCTGCCAGTATATCAAAAAGACTTGCGAGGTCGTGCTCATACATTAGCCTGACCTGCAGACCTCGCTGGCCCTAATCGCACTTTGGATGGGGAAATAGCTTATCATTTTATTGGCCATGAGGGCTGTAAATCTGACGTACAACACCTCACGCCTGAGGAAGTCCAGCGCTAAAGGCTGCTGGGCTGTAAATGCGTGTATGGATGAGAGACTTTGGGCTCTTTTTTTTATGGTTTAAGGTTTCAATAGGTAGCAGAAACCCCACCACAGAGCATCGCCCCCAGGGAAGGAAAACACTAAAGTCATTTACCATAAGCTCTCATTTTAGAGCTGGACTTGCTGGCCCCTAGTAAATCTATTGCTCAGAGAACAAAGAGCATGCACTGAAGTGAGACCTGTTTTGTCAGTAAGCAGGTAGGAGATCCGTCCGAGCTGCTCCGGTATGGTGCTGGCCCTCACCACCGTCCCCGGGATCTTGGAGTCTTTCTTGATCATCCAGCTGAAGACCATCTTTCCCATGTCCAGGTTAACTCGCAAACTGCATAAAGCAGACAAACGATACTTAAGAGTCTCACACAACCACAGAATTATCCACTTCATTCATTCTGTACCTGATGGGCACGATGTGGGAGAACAGGAGAAGGAACCGGAAGATCTGGAGGTACCAACGGCCCGCAAAGTGCTGGAGAGCGACCATGACCAGCGACACCACCACCAGGGCCCCGAACAAGATCTTAGTCAAACAGTTCACCTCCAGGTCGAACAAACCCACCTGACCGGGTCGAAAGAAGCAAACTTCCTCACTTTAATACCTCAGGGAACAACATATCAGCAAGCATAAAACACAATTAAATATTCAAAGGTATGGAGCGAATTTTGTTCCTCTATTGTTGCAAAGAACATCTTTTGCAAATGACAACATTATTTTAAAGAATCCAACTCGCTAAACTCTAAAAAAAAAATTGTCAAACATAATTAAATCTAAAGAATAAATTTGGAATAGAAGAATCTAAAATAACATCTAAAAATATTTTAAGAAAAAAAGAAAAAAAAAACTGCAAAAGAAGGTTATAAAACATAATAAATTACTCTCAAAATCTTTTTTTGATTACATTATTTACACTGAAAAAAAATCAACACCTAAATAAGCAATTTTTTCTTGAAATAAGTGCATTTTGTCTTGAATTGAGAAAGTAAAAGAGACATTTTGTCAACGGAACGAGACAATTTACACTTAAACTAAGAAAACACAATTGCATTGTCTGATTTCAAGGGCATTTTATCTAATTATCTTATTTAAAGACTAAAAATACTCATTCCATTGGCAAACTATCTCATTTACCTACTCTTTAAGTAATGGTAAATACACTTAATTTTTTCATTTTTCCAGTGTAGAATCCCATTTTGAAACGCTTTATATTCTACGCTGGAAAAACAATCTAGAACTAAGTAAAAATTCCTTATATTAAGTATATTTACACTTAATTTGAGTTTGTAAATGAGCTAGTTTGCCAATAGAATGATTATTTTTACTCTTAAAATAAGATAATTAGATAACATACACTTTAAATAAGACAATGCGGTTGTGTTTTCTTATTTTAAGTGTAAATTGTCTTCTTCCATTGGCAAGATGTCTCTTTTACCTCCTCAATCCAAGAACAAATGCACTTATTTTAAGAAAAAATGACTTATCTAGATTTCAATTTTTTCCAGTGTAATTTCCTTTTTAGACGTGTTCTTTGCTTTTGATAAAACTGGAAAATATTATCTCCATAAAGTCGAGGGAGTGTGAATCCTTTTTTCAAGGCACTGTATGCAAAGTTAATATTTCATAGCAGAAACATCAATCAGGGTTCCTACAGCATAAGGCAAGTTAGGCCCCGTCCACACGAAGTCAAAACGAACACGAAACGCTAATATTTTCCAGAACGTTTGTCGTAAAGACGGAGACGTAAAAATAAATGTGATCGTCCACACGAATGCATGAAAACGCTACAAAATGTATGCCAGGTCTATAAGTGGCGCTGTGGTGCCAAAGCAAAAATAGGCGACGAAATGTTGGGCATGCGCACTAATATTTATACATGGTTGCCTTGCGGGTCCATTTTCGTGGTTCAGTCAAATTCAGGTGCTGAACTATGTGGTCGATATTGCTCTGTTCTTCCTGGAGATATTCCAGAAGAAGAAGATTCTGTTGTAAGCCCGACAGCAGGGTGAGTAGCATGAGCAGCAACCATTCAACACAGTACGGCGCCATTGTTGTTGTGATACTGTGTCGCGCATGCGTGTTTAGAGGCGACGCTATGACGCATGCGTGTAAGAAAAAAAATGCGGTTAGAGCTTAAAGATGGAAACGCGAAAACGCCGTTTCAAAATCTTCCCACTCTGAAGGCTTAATAAAAAAAAGATCGTTTACAGACCCCCGAAACGCCGGCTTCGTATGGATGAGAGGCTGGTTTGGTGAAAAATGTGTGCGTTTAGGCCAGGGTTTGACTTCGTGTGGACGGGGCCTAAAATGCAAGACTTTTTAAGACTTTTTAATGCCACTTGAAATAAAAAGTTAAGACCAAATTCACAAGAAACACGACAACTTAACCCAAAGGTTTATTTTAACATAAACCACTGCACTGTTCCAAATTTTGAAAAGCTATCGGGACGGAACCAATATTGGCGAGCCGTTATTTCTTTTTTTAAATAAAATAAATAAATAAAAATGGTGAATTTTAACGTTTTATTTAGATTACATAAATAAATCGTAGTAAAAATAATCCTATTTATGATGTTTTAAAAATTAAGACCTACGAAAGACTGATTTAAGACATTTTAATACCAATTAAGGCCTTAGTTTTATTTTGAAGAATTCAATGCCTTTTAAGACTTTTTAAGGACCCGCGGGAACCCTGATCAATAAAGTCTAAAGTTGTGCTTTAGGTTGCAGCTCTCTACTGTACCTTGTGCCGTGGGTTGGAGGTGTTCATGACGCTCCGCAGCTCCTTGCCTGTGTAAATCACAACCCCCACCACCGTGCCTGGGGTGAGGGGAGAGAAAAAAGCCAAAAAGTGCCTCAGGGTAGCAGACTAAAGCACCAACATCAACCATAATATGTCAGATAGATGTTTCCCAGACACATAATCCTGACATGAATGGACTTTTCTAAAATGAAGAAAGTCAGATTTCCAATTGCATAATGGGTAACACATGTTAAAGCGGGTTAAGGTGGATTTACTCTCCTTCAGGAGAGAAAAAAAAACACGTCTTTTTTTTTAACGATTCTCCTCAAGTTTCACAGAGCGATTCATAAATGAACAATGTTTTGCCTCTTCCAGTAATTTTTCACTAAATATTGGATGAGCAGTCCCAGAAGCAGCAATGACTGGGGTTAACTTGCTGAACTATTGCTGTTTTATTGCTGTAATACGAAGCAGACGTTTACCAGAAGCGACGACCGTGCTGGCCCACAGCGTGTTCTCGATGCTGAGGCTCTCGTTTACCGGGGGGTCTCCGTCTTCCTGAAGACGGTTTAGGAATAAAATGGTAAGGCTTTTTTTTTCCAGAAAAAGAACAAACATTGAGCTTTTCTAAAATACATTACATGGATAATTTATAAACAAATAATAAAAAAAAGCATTTATAAAAAGAAGAACACCAGAATTAAATCCTGTTTCCTGTGGGTTTTAAACTCTCTGAGAGAGAGACTGAACTGACTGCTGCAGCTCCCTTTCTGTCTCTGTCATGTGACCAGGGAGCAGTTTGTTCCACTAGAAATGTATTCCACCCAAATTAACAACACATATATAAAAAACAAGAAGATGCTAGCACAACCTACCACATCAGCAGTTATATTTAAGTTAGATGTATCCAGGATTCAATTATATTGTACTTTATAGTTCAACAGATCATCCAGTCAAATTGATTCAGTTTTCTATCTAAGGAAAACCAGTTGATTGCATGGACTCATTGATTCGAAGGCAATCCTTTACACTTATTATGCTTGTAGCGACAGTGGAGAGGAAAAACTCCCTTTTAACAGGAAGTAACCTCCAGCAGAACCAGGCTCAGTGTGAGCAGCCATCTACTGCAGTTTGCCCCCGCCCCTTCCGCAGACACTCTGTTGCACCTCTCCAAAATTGTAGGTGACCGCAGACAGGAGGCCTCTGATTGGTCAAATCTACATCCGCTCTACATTAGGCGTATTTCCTGTTTGGTACCTCACCGGCTTGTTTTGTTTGTCTGACCGCCATTGTGGCAAAACGACTCGTGAAGATGGACCAGCTAGAAGAGCGAGGTGAGCGAGAACCCTGGGACACTTTTTCCACCTGGATCCCCGCTCTTTTTGGCCCTCATGTCCCTCCGTTGTCGCACAAACTTGACCCCGCTTCCTCTAGACCCACAGCTAGTTCCTGATTGGTCCTCTTGCGTCGAATAACAGCACAGACCACGCTTCAATATTGGGCATAAATCAAAAATATCTGCAACAAGCTCACTGCGACACACTGCTGCGGGAGTATAACCAGGCCTTGAGAATGCTTGTAGCGACAGTGGGGAGGAAAAACTCCCTTTTAACAGGAAGAAAACACTAGCAGAACCAGGCTGAGTGTGAGCAGCCATCTGCTGAGGCCGACTGGGGTTAAAGGAGAAAGAAGCAGATATAGAAAAAGAAGCATAGATACAAAAGGCAACTGTCAACTAGCTCCACGGCCCCGTCCAGGAAAAACACAGCCAGGCAGATGAATTCAGAGCCAGCTCCGATTCCCTCTCTATACTATAAGCCAGGATTTACTCGGCACCAGTAACAGTGAAACAAACGGTGTCAGGGTCGAAAACACAATGGCGACACATTTTGTTCAATGCTGAAGTTAACGTCACAACGCAAGCTAATATACGCCATTAGATTCACTCATACGGCATTAGATTCATTGGCCGATTACATCATAGCTCAGCAAAAGGCTGAATGATTTTGCCGAAAATCTAAATTGCGATTAATTTGAACTAATATTGCGATTTTATTGCGATTGCGTTTTACATTAAGCACAATTATGTAGATGTTTCAATTGAGGGTTTCAGTTTATTCATGACCTTGTTGCAGGACTTTACTGTAAACTTTGTGTGAAAAAGTTCCAACTTCCTGCAACTGTATGTTCGCTTCTGTGTCATGGCAAAACATTTTAGGCATATTACAGCCACCTAAAATGCTGGAGCGAGAAATTTACCTCCCTCATTTTATCTTTCTTTTGTTAAATGTAAGGTGACTAAAATTTAGTGCAATTAGAAAATTGCGCTTTGCGAAACTGCGATTATATTGCAAATATTATTAACTGTCCCCTGCTTGGATCTGAAGACTCCTCGTTATTTGGGCGACAAATGCGTCTTTTTTTTGCCCATTTTGAAGGACGGGTCCGGTGTATCCTACGTAGCCTTGGGTATCCCGTGATTCATTGAGAGTCCAAGCTAGCCGGCTGCTCTGTGCTCGGAAGAAAAAGAAAAATGGCGCCTAACGGTGGTGAATCTTGGAAGTTCAGTTTCATATAATAGAGCATGTGAATAGTTCTGTCTGAACTGAATGAAAATAGTTGTTTTAAATGGTAATTTAGTCAGATATGTGGCGGGTAATGTTTGGTTTATTGAAAGGTTTTATCCATCCCTGTGTAAATGGGTTTGGTTGACATTTCAGCACAGATTCTAATATCTCTGAAGTGTGGGGAATATAAACCTGTTATTCATGATGATGGTACTGCTGCTGAAACTCCTCAGAAATGAAATTAGCACCCAGAACAGTGGTGAGAAGTTCAGCATCCATTTTTTTGCCTGCTTTGTGCGTCAACTGTCATGTTTGCTAGGCAACAGAGCTAGCTGCTGAGTGAGGGGCGGTGACAGCCGGATAAGGAATTCGTCTCTATAGTCCAACTTTTCCAAACTCCTCATTTTCACATCCTTGGAGGACGCAGCTGCCGGATCTGAATGCTCCCGTTTACTGTCACTACCTGCTCATCCAGGAGGAGCGAAACCTGAAGAGCCAATGACTGGATGCAATCAGCTGGTTTTCTTTAGATTAAAACTTTTAACCAACGGAATGGATGATCTGTCTGAATTTTCTCTCTAAAGTGTTGTGAATTGATGTGTGTAATTGGTGTATAGAGAAACTAAATTGAATTTAAATGCAAATCAGACAGAAAAATTCTGACATGAACTTCTAAAATCTCTATGATCTATAATAGTCACTTTATTTCATCTCGTAAGAAAAAACAAAAAAAACATTTGAAGTCTAAAGTTACCTTTGCACTGAATTGGTCCATATAAATAAACGTACCTTCCCTAAAGGAAAACTCTAATTCTATCTGTTCTATCCAGCAAGTATTGACATAATTATCGTTATCGTTATTTAGGTGAAGAACTGTTTTCAAATAGACGTTAGGCAGAAAGTTTTTCCACCAGAAGGTAACCAATGTTAATCAGTTAAAGCTGCAGATGGTGTCCATGTTTGTCAGAAGGATGCTAAGAACAGAGAGGAAGCGTTTACCCTGGTGAAAGTTCCAATGAAGTTATGAATGTCGATGTTTGGTTCTTCTGCGTACACGTATGATCTGATCTGGAGGAGGTCCTGTGGGCATAAAGAAGGTTTAAAAACTGAAGATAAAGTGATACTTTCATACTTTCATTTTTCTGTGATGCTGGTTTTCCTTCTGTTTGAGCGCCACAAGCGTCACGTCATGTGACTAAGAAAACTTAACGGGATTGGCTGGGTGTTGGACGCCACAATCCATTGCTAATGTCTGTGACCTGAAGTAACCCTTCCCTTTTTACACTGAATTTAGACGCCAAATTTAAGACGATGAAATAGAGCCAGTTGAATCTCAGGAGGCTGAAATTATTGAGTTTGAATTTTGAAAGGTTGAAATTTTTTATATGCAGATTTTTTTAACACTGAAAAATAAGTATTTAATGTAATCACTTTGAAATAGTAATGGGAATTTTTAGCTTGAAGAGAAAATTAATGAAATTTCAACTGTGTAGAAATAATGACAATGATTTTTTTTTTAGGTCAAAAATGTGTCTGAATATATTTTAACACTGAAACAGTAAGTACAAACATACAACATTAAAATCCCAGCGACACAGATTTACTTCCATAGAATTCTGTTCCAATATTGTTGTAATGAAAGAACACAACTTGTAAAGAGAAACTGGACAAAAAAAAAAATTATACAGAAATTAATCTTTGAAAATGCTTTAATCAGAGAAGGGCTCTGAGAACAACTGTTGTTTTCTTTGATTATGTTATTTCAAATTATTCATTTTTCAATAGATTTTTATATTATATCTATTTTTAAAGGTTTTTACTTTTACATTTTGTTCTTTTTTTTTTTCAAAATTTTTGTTTTAATTAGTATTTTTCAGATTGAGTTTGAGTTGAATTGCATTCTTTGCTAATTGCGTCCTACAGATCATTTTCTCTCCTTTTTAACCAGTAAAAATGTTGTTGCTAACGTCCAGCAGACCAATAGAAATGTGTCTCTTCCTCACTACAGAGGGAAGCCCGCCTCCAGAAGTGAAGAAAATGTGATCGATAAAAATATCTTTTGTTAAAGAATAAAAATGGTTAGAACGTTATCTTAAAAACAAAATAATAAAAAAATATATATTATAAAATTAGCTAAAAAAGCTAAATATGAAAAATCAATTCAAATGAAAAAACTACATTTGAAAGAAATAGCAAAGTGTCTCCAAAACTTTTTTCATTAAAACATTTTTCAAAGTTTCACTTCTGGATTGCATTTTGTTTGCAACAATAATGGAACAAAACTCACTCCATACATATGCCTCGTTTTCCTTTTTACACTGCCCATCTAGGGGATAATTTTATCACATTTGATTCACTTTTTAGACAAAAAGAAAATGTGCTTAAAATGATTTTAGAAAAGGATTAAAAGGATTTTAAAACTAAAACACATTGAAATTAGGATTCCCTTAAATTTTTACAGAATATAAAATAATCTTGAGTCAGTCCCTGAAAGCCTTCCTGTAAGTAAAGGCCTGATGTGACTCAAGCCTTTAAGTTACGGCCTCCTTTGATGTGCCGACCACTCTAAACTCGCCTCAAATGACCACAACGACCATAATGAAAGACCTGCTGCTACTTTAGGAAAACAATCTCCGCGCACAAAGAATCCTGTGTTCATCGGTCAGAAAGGAGACGAGACTAAATAATGGCACGTTATCAACATCCTTTCAGCGACTCACTGCGGCAGTGGGCAGCCTCTGGGTGCAGGCCACTGGGAGGCGCAGCTTCCAGTCCGTCTCTCCGTCCAGCTGGTCAGTTCGCAGGAAGCAGGACCCTGAAGGAGACGTAGGATATCACAAGCTCACCTCTAGAGGGCAGCAGAAACATTTAGCTAAAGAAAGGACCTCATTGGATCCTTCTATACATGTGAATGCACCAAAAAAATAAAAACTAAAAGTCCCGTAGTGCTTCTAAAAGTTTAGGATGCAAATAATAAGTAGGCTGAAATTAAAAAATATGACTGTTTGAATGAACAAACATTGCAAACCCTCTCTCTCTCTCTCTAGCGTGCGTCACCCTGCCTCAAAAACTCCCCAATCACGGTTTAGGCCCTTCCTAATTGACCTAATGGCCTCAACATAGAAGAAAGATAACCAAACACTATTTTCAGAAAAAAATATTTTCTTTTCCTGGAACAGGAAGACGCAGCAACAAACATTTGTTTTTTTGTTGTCCTTCAGCATGTCTGTCCAATCACTGAGAGCGTTTGTTGTTATCCATATTTGATTATTCAGATGAGCTATTGAGGCATCCTCGCCTGTCTCTTGTCTCTTTGCATTTGATGTTGCGAGTCCCTTAATTTTCCTTTTCATTATCTCCTTATTTGAAAGACAAACACTAAGCCGGGTAAGGTTGTGCACATCGCATCGTTTTGTCTAGATGGAACATTACTTTACTGCCATACACATTTTGAGCAGTAATTTACATGCAGGTCTTATAATAATTTCTATACGGAATTTTAAAAATGTAGTGATTTTATTTTGTATTTCAGTTTGATATGGAGAGAAATAAAATCATAATTCTTATTTTTTTCTCCGAATTTTGACTTTAATCTATTAAGCCTAATTTTTGTTTTTTTTTCCACAGCCCCTAATCTTCTTCTGTAGAGAATAGTCAGAAAAGTAAGAATTCTAAGATTAAAGTCAGAACCCTGACTTTAATCTCACACTTATGACTTTAATTTCAAAATCCTGAGAAAAACGTCAGAATTCTGAGGAAAAAAGTCAGAATTTTGAGATTAAAGGGCCACTCAGAATTCTGAGATACAAATGTCAGAATTCTGAGAAAAAAGTCTCGATTCCTAGATTAAAGTCAGAATCCTGAGATTAAAGTCAGAATTCTGAGGAAAAAAGTCAGAATTTTGACTAGAATCTTGTGAGATTAAAGGTTCACTCATTATTCTGAGATTAAAGGGCCACTCCGAATTCTGAGATAAAAATGTCAGAAGTCTGAGAAAAAAGTCTCGATTCCTAGATTAAAGTCAAAAGCCTGAGATTAAAGTCAAAATTCTGAGAAAAAAGGGGAGAAAAAAGTAAAAAAGTCAGAATTCTGAGGAAAAAAAGTCAGAATTTTTACTAGAATCTTGTGAGATTAAAGGGTCACTCATATTCTGAGATTAAAGGGCCACTCCGAATTCTGAGATAAAAATGTCAGAAGTCTGAGAAAAAAGTCTGGATTCCTAGATTAAAGTCAAAAGCCTGAGATTAAAGTCAAAATTCTGAGAAAACAGGGGAGAAAAAAGTAAAAAAAAGTCAGAATTCTGAGGAAAAAAAGTTAGAATTTTGACTAGAATCTTGTGAGATTAAAGGGTCACTCATATTCTGAGATTAAAGGGCCACTCCGAATTCTGAGATAAAAATGTCAGAAGTCTGAGAAAAAAAGTCTGGATTCCTAGATTAAAGTCAAAAGCCTGAGATTAAAGTCAAAATTCTGAGAAAAAAGGGGAGAAAAAAGTAAAAAAGTCAGAATTTTGACTAGAATCTTGTGAGATTAAAGGGTCACTCATTATTCTGAGATTAAAGGGCCACTCCGAATTCTGAGATAAAAATGTCAGAAGTCTGAGAAAAAAGTCTCGATTCCTAGATTAAAGTCAAAAGCCTGAGATTAAAGTCAAAATTCTGAGAAAAAAGGGGAGAAAAAAGTAAAAAAGTCAGAATTCTGAGGAAAAAAAGTCAGAATTTTTACTAGAATCTTGTGAGATTAAAGGGTCACTCATATTCTGAGATTAAAGGGCCACTCCGAATTCTGAGATAAAAATGTCAGAAGTCTGAGAAAAAAGTCTGGATTCCTAGATTAAAGTCAAAAGCCTGAGATTAAAGTCAAAATTCTGAGAAAAAAGGGGAGAAAAAAGTAAAAAAAAGTCAGAATTCTGAGGAAAAAAAGTTAGAATTTTGACTAGAATCTTGTGAGATTAAAGGGTCACTCATATTCTGAGATTAAAGGGCCACTCCGAATTCTGAGATAAAAATGTCAGAAGTCTGAGAAAAAAAGTCTGGATTCCTAGATTAAAGTCAAAAGCCTGAGATTAAAGTCAAAATTCTGAGAAAAAAGGGGAGAAAAAAGTAAAAAAGTCAGAATTTTGACTAGAATCTTGTGAGATTAAAGGGTCAGTCATTATTCTGAGTTTAAAGGGTCACTCATATTCTGAGATTAAAATGTCAGAAGTCTGAGAAAAAAGTCTGGATTCCTAGATTAAAGTCAAAAGCCTGAGATTAAAGTCAAAATTCTGAGAAAAAAGGGGAGAAAAAAGTAAAAAAGTCAGAATTTTGACTAGAATCTTGTGAGATTAAAGGGTCACTCATATTCTGAGATTAAAATGTCAGAAGTCTGAGAAAAAAAGTCTGGATTCCTAGATTAAAGTCAAAAGCCTGGGATTAAAGTCAAAATTCTGAGAAAAAAGGGGAGAAAAAAGTAAAAAAATCAGAATTCTTAGATTAAAGTCATAAGTGCGAGATTAAAGTAAAAAATTTGGGATTAAAGTCAGAATTTGACCTTTTTCTCATAGTAAACTGAAATAAAATAAAAAGAGGCCCTAATCCTCTTCCGTAGTTGTGGGGCGTTGTGAAAAGGAGCAGATGTTTACCATTTCTTTCAGAGGTCCTTAAAAAGATCATGTCAGCAGGAACACGTTGATTCTGCAAAGAAAAGAGAAAAACAACATTTTAATGTTACTCCATGACTGTTTGCTCTTCCTTCTCTCCACTTCTCCCTAAAAACTGCACACAAATCAGACTTTGAGTTTAGCATGGCCACACCAGCAGCAGCCGTTGATTTACAAAAAAATAAGCCCTCCAGCAAATCACCCTGCAGTGGACTTCAGATGGCTCTTTACACTAAGCCTGACTTAATGCCCCCACAAATTCCCCAGTCGGTTCATCTGGACTGCTTTACTCAACCTAAACTGCTACTCATCCAACTAAAGGTTTAAATAAATCTCCAAAAATATAATATAAAAAAAAATTTTCTGGAAGTTTTATTGACTTCAGTTTGACATTTAAGTCCATTATGGTTTAAATCTAAAGTGTAGCTCACCCAAAAATCAACATTTTTCCAGATAAACTGGTACTACCATTTTTCATATGAGATTCTTTAATTTTGGAAGATTTCTTTTCAAATCATTTTAGCTCTGCCCTAAGTGGATGAATGGAGAATTTTCCTGCTTTGTCTTTCATCACAGCACGGGAAAAATGATCTAGAAATAAGTTAAAATGTCCTAAATTAAGTGTATTTACCCTAAATTTGAGCAAGTCAATAAGATAGTTTGCGAATGGAATTAGTATTTTTACTCTAAAAAAAATAATAATTAAATAATATGCACTATTTCATCATTCTGCTTCATTCTATCTCTATTCTCCCACTCTGCAGAATCTGTTAGTTCAATCTCTAACGTTCTGCTCTCTCTGCTTTTTCTCATAGTAGCTTCATCTGGTCTGTTCCTGTTTGGCTGTGACTCCATCCTGGAGAGAAATATCAGCTGTGCTGCTGCCATCAACACCTTTGTTTCTAGATGTTGGAGCTTGGCCTGTTTTTCAGTGTCGTCCTGTTTCTCTGACTGTGACTGGCTGGATGTGCTCTCTTCATCCTCTGACATGGGAGCTGGCTCGGAGCTCGTCTGTCTGGCTGTGTGTTTCCTGGACGGGGCCGCCTTTTACAGCTGCCTTTTGTGTCTCTGCTTCTGTCTCCTTGAACCCCAGTCGGCCTCGGCAGATGGCCGCTCACACTGAGCCTGGTTCTGCTGGAGGTTTTTTCTTCCTGTTAAAAGGAGTTTGCATTCTCCCGAGCGGTGCCCGACTTTAGACGAGCGAATAAAGTGAATGTGATTGGTTGATTATCAAGGGGGCGGGATTGTTGTGGCGGACGGTTTGCAAGCAAGTTTGATTTTTCCGGCGTCTCTGAAGCATCCTTCTAACCAGTTAGCAGCTTAGCACTAGTAGGTTCCCAATGGGAAATTCCATTGGGACCAAGTAGCACTAAATTGGTGACTTAGAAACGACGCTGTCAAGGAACGCTATGGACAGAGGAAACATGCAAGAGGAGGAGAGTTTAGTGTCGGAGGTCGTGGATGAGTCTCCTCCATCATACATTTTTTATTTAGAGGAGGAAAGCGGGGACGAAGATGTTGTGGAAGAGGACGCCAGGGCGGCAGAAGCTTGGTTTGGTGTAGAAGGCTTCCAGCCGTACATGTTTGAGCCCTTGCCTCGCAACGCTGCCAGTTCTGTTAGCTCTACGCCTGCCGAAGACACAGACGTCCATCCCCGTGAACACTGGGACGCAACTCAATGGGAAAGGATTCTGATTTCAACTGTTCAACCGGCTCGTTATTGGCCCACCACATAAATGGTGACTCGATGCTCCTGAAGGGTCCCCAACTACCCACAGATGTTCATCCAAACAATCTTTACACAAACCTTCTCCACGATTATAAGGTCGCCCACTTGGATGCCGCTGCTCTTTACCTTCACCGTACCTGAAACGCAGAACGGCAGAAAAGGTAAAAGGTTTGTTCAGGAAGCAGCAGTGATAAACTTTATCATTAAAGCCATTAATGTCCTCTTGGTGAACCGATGTCCTGCATGCCACAGCAGCTCTCCATGCAGATTCTGATAGAATGTTGAAGGGGGGGGGGGGGGGGGGGGGGGCTGAGCCTTTTCCCTCTCATTCCACTTGGTATGAACAGGCAAAATTGTTTGGAGGAGATCACTGACCCCTGAACTGTGCTGTGACCTCTGGGCTTTGCATATGTAAGACATTAAAGCGCATTAATATTGTTATGCATTTTTGACTTGCAGAGCTTCACAGGAGAGCTATAAACATCTACTCTTTTAGAGGGTTTATAAGAAAATGAGTAAATGTTTATTATATATATAAATAAATATATATATATATATATATATATATATATATATATATATATATATATATATATATTTATATATTATATGTATATATTAGGGGTGGAGCGGTTCACAAAATCCACGGTTTGGTTCGATTCGGTATATGTTGATTGTTACACCGAAATCCCATAAAAATTAATGAAAAAATCCCCCCAAAAATAATGGATTGTAATTATTTTAATGATCCGCGGAAACCCTGGATCATTTCCGTATGTTTTGCTGCTTTGAATTTAATCATCTGGCGCATGCCCTCTACGATCTCCAAGGAACTCAGAGCGGAGCGGACGGGAGCCACAGTGGAGGCTGTAGACTTTGCTTTGAGCAGGCGGGCTGGAGCACAGCGGGACGGAGCGCTGACGGAGTATGAGGGATTTCGGGGTTAGCATGACATGTTGGTCATGTTGCTGTTAGCATAAACAAAACGTGTTGCGCAATGCTTGCACACTGTTGCACTTTTATCAACAACTTTCTTTCCGCCGTCATCGTAGGTAACTCTAAATGCAAAGCGCTCCCATACAGCAGACCTATAAAGTGCTGCTGGCGCGTCTTCCAACTCCTGTTCTTTCCCACTCGCCATACCCACACAATTCTCCACAACAACTGATTTTTTTATGCTACACCCGGCTACGCTGCTTTGCTTCTTCTTCTTCCTGTTTACTACTGGTGGTTGGCTTTGGTCGCAGTACAGCCACCTTCTGCTCTGGAGTGTAAACACTTCACCTATGAGAAAAAGGAGCAGCGCATGAACCGAATGCAACACACGCGAACCGAACCGAGACAGTCGAACCGAACGGTTCGGAAGGTTTTCATAAACCGTTCCATCCCTAATATATATATATATATATATATATATATATATATATATATATTTTTTTTTTTTTTTTTTTTACACGCACATATACATGTATATATATATATATATATATATATATATATATATATACATATACATATACATACATATATATATACATATACATACATATACATACATATATATATACATATACATACATATACATACATATATATATACATATACATACATATATATACATATACATACATATATATATACATACATATACATACATATATATATACATACATATACATACATATATATATACATACATATACATATATATATATATATATATATATGTATATGTGCGTGTAAAAAAAAAAATAAAAAAAAAAAAAATATATATATATATATATATATATATATATATATATATATATATATATATATATATATATATATATAAAAAAACAACACAGCAAATTCCTTTCTCATCTTTACTGTCAACAGGCTCCTTTTCTGAACATACGGCTTCACGATCAACCGGAAGAAATTCCGCGCAAATATATCCCTATATAATATATATCTGACAAAATTGTTTTTATAAACACATTTTTTTTTTATAAAGCATTTTAAATGCAACAATAATCACATTTAATTAATTTTAATGCCAATTAAGGCCTTAATTTAAAAAATTATAAAATTACTTTTAATGACCCGCGGAAACCCTGTTTTACCCCCATTTTAGGGAAGAGATATAAATAAAAAATTCTGTTTTTATTTCGTTTTGATATTTCCTTTAAACGTCCGTTTATCCTTTTTTCCTCCAGTGTTAAATAAGCTCTATGCAAAACTACAGACACCATAAAGTTTCTATAAAACCACAAATTATGCACAGGGGCTTGCCCTCATGCAGGCAGCCAGTCATTGTGTTTATGGCTAAAACAAGCTGCCACATCAAAGAGGCAAAGTGATGGAAACCACCAGAGGTCTCCTGCTTTTTATTGCTGCGACCACTTTATTCAAAGCCCTCTTATGTACACTTTTAAATCTCTGCTTTGAATTACCCACCATTTCCCCTCGCCCCAATAAGCTTTTAACAGCACCAACCTCCGACAGTTATTGAAGGCACCAATAAGGACCAAATATGAGTGCCGACTAACCAAATCCGATTTTCTGACCTCTTGTGGAAAGCTTGCTGTAGACTTGAGAGTTGACTTCTTTGTCTCGAAGGTAGCACCTTATCTCCTCAATTGCCTCTCTCATGATGGTGATAAACAAAACAAGCCCCTGGAAACGAGAAGAATGCTACAATTAGAGGGATTCCTTTAGAAAAAAATCAATGAAATGCAAAGATTGGAGCTGTTTTAAAGCTGAACACAAATAATGTAAAACGAAGTAGACCAACTGGAATGATTGATAGTTAGAGGGAGGGGACATACCAAAGGGACCCAGTAGGTGTAGAGGGCACCAAGGCGTAACTCCTCGACAAATTGAGAGCAGGCCAGCAGCAAAAAGTACAAGTTGAAGAAGTACTTAAACTGATTAAACAGCACCTGAGGATGCAGAGCGGAGAGGAGGACCGGAGTGAAACACTAAACATGACCAGGAGGGATTTTACATCAGGAGGGGCAAGAATGATCTGGATAACTTACAAAAATATTTTCTATGTAGAATCAAGATGAGACATTCTCCTAATGTTCAAAGTGGGATCACACAAGGGTGTAACTTTGTAATAAAAGTTGGTGGGGACACTCAGGTGGACCTACAGTGACTCGACCCGAACGCTTTCAATAGGTTTTTGTATTTTCCAAAAATGACATCAAACATATACAGTATTTATTGAAGGTTTTCCTATTGTTGAGAACACAAGACACTGATATTTATATTTATAGACAGTTAGAGAGATACCTTTTAATGCCTTTTATATATATAGGGCCCAAAAACATTAATGTATAAATAAATAACGGATAACAGCCCATTCCAATTTCAAAATCGATAAATCATGCATCCCTAGAAGTACAATTTCAATTCCATCCATCCAGAAAAATATGGATATGTTGCAATTTAAATAAAGCATAGCATTTTTTTTCTTGTAAACTTTGTGTTAAACTTGCATATCCCAGTAAATCTGTTTCCCCTTTACATCTGCACTTCTCCCTGCTTCTCTCCGTGCTCTGTTTATAAAGATTTATGAACCTCTTTACACACAGAGTGTATAAAGAGGTTCGTAACCTCATTTTTTTGGTTCGTAACCAATTTCCTTTTGTACAGCTTTCAGACAGTAAATGAGCTGCAGCTTATGGGCGCCGCCATTTTTGTTTGCGTAAATACTGCTTTGAGAGCTGTAGTATCGTGGGGCGCCGATAGGAGACGGGGAACCGTGCTAGGGTGATGCGTTTATGGTCGTAAGAACCAAGCTCAGCTCGGTTAACTGATCCAAGCTCAGTCCAAATTCGGTTGCAGAGGGGTAGGGTAAGTGGGGCATTTGTTCTTCATTAAACGACTCAACAATTCATATTTTTACATCAAAGACATTTTTTCACTGAAGATATTTCAATTTTGACTGTTTCATAATTGAGATTTTTTCTTTTAGGTCTTTCAGTTTTACGTGCGTGCTAACCACTGCACAGCCTGTACGCCCCTTAAATTGTTTTTATGCGATCTGCATTAAGACTGGGAGGAAATGCGATTATGACAATAAAGATTGATACGATATAAAAAAGCCAGCTGCCTTATTTTAGTCTATGTAAAACAGGAATGTATAAATGTATCCCAGGTACATTTTTTTTTTTTCTACTGTTTTGATACATTTTTCAGACTAAAAAACAAATATAAAATATTTCTAAAATTAGTTCTGCTAAAATATACAGTAACGTTCAGTAAATTTGAATTACCGTATTTTCTGGACTATACAGCGCAACTAACTATAAGCCGAGCCCACTTAATTTTTTGAAAAAACTGGAAGATGCACCAGGCTATAAGCCGCTGATATCGACTGAACTCTCTCCCACCAAACCTGTAGAGGGAGCTCTACATATGGCTCCTAGAAAAGAGACGAAGAAAAAGAATGCTAGCTTCCGTTAGCTTGTTGCTCGCGGAAGGAAGAGCTTCTAATGAAAGATGGGGCTTTATTGGCTCTTTATTTTAACTCTGCAGGAATAGAGCTCAGTCTCTTTATTGGTTCTGCAGCTTTAATGCTGCAAATAAATGTCAAAATGTGTGAATTTGGGACATTTATTCTCCGTCTAATTGCTGCTAGCACATTTTTGTGCTTAACTAAAATTGTTCTTGTTCAAGCTTGTTCTTTCATTTCCAGATTTGACTTTCCCCTCTGGCTGTTAGCAGGGTTTATACATGAATGAGTAACTCTTATTTAATGCTTTTAAATGCTCTTTTAATGCTCTTAGAAATAATCTAAATGCCATCAACAAGTACCCATGACTTAAAATATAAGTCATGGGTACTTGTTGATATACACACACGGCAAAATCCTTTGTCATCTTCACCATGGACAGGCTGAAGCCATGTCCCGAGTTCCTCGTTTTCCCGACAGTTTGGTTCAAATTTGCATTTACCCACATTCTCTAGCCTTTTCTCCGCCTCAACCAACTTTTCCAAAGCATTTTAATCCCATGATTATCAAATTTAATTAATTTTAATGCCAATTAAGGCCTTAATTTAAAAAATAATAATTGAATGACTTTTAATGACCCGCGGAAACCCTGGTTAGGAAAAATCCACAGAAAAGCCGCACCTTCTTATAAGCGGCATGTTTCAAAGAGTTGGAAAAAAGTAGTGGCTTATAGTCCGGAAAATACGGTAGGCTTATTTTTCTGATCAAAATAGTTTTTGAAGAAAACATTTGTGCATTAAAAACCTCCTTTTAATCGGTCCGATGTTACATCTGAACCTGAAGTGTATGGAGTGAATTTTGTTCCATTATTATTTCGAGCAAAGAACACATTTTAAAAATGAAACTTTGAAGAAAAAAATATTTTGTTGATAAAAATTTGAAAAATGAAATCCAGAAATTAAACTTTAAAAAAAGGAAACAATAAAAAGTTTTTGCAAGTAACTTTGTGTTTTACATTTTTTCCCCCCCAATTTTTTTTATTTTTCCTTTCTATTTTCTATTCTATTTTCAAAATTACTCTGAAAACCTTTTCTTTATTTTAAATTTAAAGTTTCATTTCTGGATTGCATTTTTCCCAAATTTCCTTTTACAAAACAAACTCTTGATAGAAATAATGAAACAAAATTAACTCCATATAGTTTTATCAGCTTTAACAGAAAGATCCTTAAAAATATTTGAAAACATAGGCTTTAAAATATCAATCTATTTTATTTTTTTGATTTAATTTAATAAATGAACCTATCAGAAATATTTTGATTTAGTGATATGACTGCAGAAACAACAAAAGATACAAATAAAAAAGGTAACTTAGCAGCAATATGACTGTATATAAATGTGCAATTTTATAGATTTTCATTTAAAAACTTGTAACTATTCAGTCTTCAATAAACAGGCAGCTTTGTTTTGCCCTCGCTTTAACACACAAATACTTCAGCCTTCTGCTCCGTTTCATTACCACCTCAGTGCAACATTACAACCCGGCGCTCAGGCGGAGACGGCAGTGCAGCGAGCAATCTGCAGAAGCGCAGAGCTCGCCATATTTTCTGGAGGAAACAACATCTTGACATGAAACAGCGCGGATTAAAACCTTCCTGATTTGCAATGCAAAAAACTCCTTTCTCTTGTCTTTTGCTTCCCAAACAAATCTGAGCTACTTTCAATTTTAGACGGCCTAAACAAACATAAAAAAAAAAATCTTAAGACAACTGGATGCCCAGAAAGCAAATGAGAAAATGCAAATCAGGAATGGAAAATACTATAATCCAAAACACGGCTCCAGGACTTAGACATAGGAGTCCAAGTCCACATGCCCAAATATGGCTAATGCAAACTATTAGGACTCTCTATCAACACCAGGTGTTTGCTGAAGGAGGATTTATACAGCTCCCCTCCAAGAAAACCAGACATAACTACTGTGGTTCATTAAGTTCATTAATTCGTAAAAACAAAAGACGATAGGGAATGATAAGAAATTAAACGTTTAGCTCTACCTTTATGATTACTCGTTTTCTTTTAATCTAGACTGTAATTAGGGTTTTATTATAAAGCTTAGCCCCTTCTGGGGAATGTATTAGATCAAACATGTAGTCTTTGTAGCTCTTGTTAAATATTTATTGGTCCTAAACAGTTTTAACAGTTATCTCAAGCTATTTAACAATCGCAAAATACAAAGAAATGGGAAATGATCTCCGATCCCACTCTGAAAAAGGAAAATAAAAAAACTAAAACTGTAGTAAAGATAAAATAAAGGTGAGGACTATAAATTCCTTTGAACGTGTCCAACCAGCTGACAGTGGAGTCAGGTCAGCCTGAGGAGGCGGGAGAGGTTGGACAGAAGAAAGGTGAACAGGCGACCTTTGACTGACACTAACCCCGGGAAGGAAGGTGAAGAAGTTGTACTTCTGGTTGTTAATGACGTTCTTCGGGTACCTCTGCTCCCTCTTCTCTGGGTGGCCGAGCCACACGGTGCGAGGGCGGAAGTCCCCCATCCCGCAGCATCTCGACCAAGGGCAGCATCTGAAAGCAACAAGAGGAGGAGGGGGGACCGATTCATTCCTAACTTTTACTAAACAGAAATGAGGATGAGGAACAGAAGACTGTAAAATGAAGCAAATATGGAGACATTTCCAGATCGTGTCAGGATTTTTAGACCAGGGTTGGGTTGGGTTGCTCCATAAATACAGGCCATTTAACATGTTTTTTACCATTTTAATCATTAACTGGAGTATAGAGACTGTAAAACATGACTTTAGCTGACCGAGTAACCAACTTAGAGCAGGAATTATATCAAAGCTATTAAAAAAAACATAACATTTTGCATTTAAAGTCGTAGGGAAACGGCTGTTCCATCCGTTTCATTTCCAAATTCTCCCGAGTGGTCCCCGACTTTACACGAGTGAATAAAGTCAATGTGATTGGTCAATTATCAAGGGGGCGGGATTGTTGTGGTGGAAGGTTCGCAAACTGTTTGATTGTAGCCGGTTTCTCAGAAGCATCTTGCTAACCAGTTAGCAGCTTAGTGCTAGTAGGTTTCCAATGGGAAATTCTATTGGGACCAAGTAGCACTAAATTGGTGACTTAGAAACGACGCTGTCAAGGAACGCTATGGACAGCGGAAACATGCAAGAGGAGGAGAGTTTAGTGTCAGAGGTCGTGGATGAGTCTCCTCCGTCATCCATGTTTTATTTAGAGGAGGAAAGCGGGGACGAAGATGTTGTGGAAGAGGACGCCAGGGCGGTAGAAGCTTGGTTTGGTGTAGAAGGCTTCCAGCCGTACATGTTTGAGCCCTTGCCTCGCAACGCTGCCAGTTCTGTTAGCTCTACGCCTGCCGAAGACACAGACGTCCATCCCCGTGAACACTGGGACGCAACTCAATGGGAAAGGAAAGGATTCTGATTTCTTATTTCAACCGTTGCGTATATTAGCTGCGACATATGAATCAACATGCTATTAACAAAAAGTGTGATTGACAGATGACCGTTGACATATGATTGGCCGAATTTAGTTGTTCAGGCTGACTAGAACTAACTGGCCTGCAGAAGATAATGAGAATAAAAAAAACCCCAACAGATTTTAAGACAGGATTTTATTAAAAAGAGAATTTTCTACATTTTGGGACAATATCGTCTGATAAAGGGAACATTTATATACATGTTTAAGCCAGAATTATTTGACATTTAAAAATGACTTCCCTACGACTTTAAGATAAAAAAAAAAAAACACTTTTTTTCTGTCAATCTGCTCTATCCAGAACTCCTCAAGTGGAAAAGTTTTTGTTTCACCTGGTTTCATTTCATAAAAAGTCTTCTTCAAGGAACCTTTAGCTATCCAATTATTAATCGATTAATCAATTTGCTAAACTATCATTAGTTGCAGCCCTACTCTGGATCGATTTGTTTGTCTTCTTCAGCATGCCTCCCCAACAGCATTACTTCTCTTGCAACTACCACTGAGGGCGTTTCTCAATATGCGTTCTTGAGCGTTCTCGTGTACTCGTGACACGTCATCAGCCTCAGCCCGAGTACCGTTCCAATTCTCGAGAACGCCAGATCGAGAACGCATCAAATCCCCGGATGTTGTTCTCACCCCGCCCTCTTTAACCTTGCATCAGAGCAGACTTGTGCGTTCTTCAGACTGACCGCTTCCCCAGAATGCCCCGCGGCCGCAGCTTGATTCGAGACAGCGCTCACAGTGTTAAGTTAAACATTCCCTTTTCTGCTGCTGTTGTTCTTCAAAAGTACGTTTTGAAATCGTTTGAGGCGATAACATTATACATTGAAGCCTCCCTGTGTGGTCTGTTTACAGAGTTAGTGCGAAATTTAAAAAAAAAGTCCTATGTTGAGCAGACCAGAGTGACCAGCAGACCTCCGAGGGTAACCGCAGACAGGGCTAAATTTACCCCGTCTGTAGTGCACTTCTCTCAGCCTAGTTATGTGTGAACTACCGCTCGTTCTGATGGCGGTTTTTTGCGGTTCGGTAATTTTTTTTTATGTTTTTTAAGCTTTAGAAATTAAAAATATTGTTTTCAAAATGTTTTGTGTAGGGAATAAATAGTTTTGACTGTTAAAGAAATGCTAAACAACGTTGCCTGTGATGACGTCACGAGTAGGCTTCTGCTCCAATACACATACGTGCTTGCGTGCTCGCATTCTCGTCAAGTCCGATCTTCCTGCGTTCTCGCCAAGAACGGACTTGACGAGAACGCGAGTACGTACTCGCGTTCTCGTGAATTGAGAAACGCCCTGAGGCTTTACTTAACCCTTTACAAATGGAGTCCCCCGTCCCTCAGTGAGGTCTAGAAGCACAAGATCTATATCCAGCGATTCAGCAGAGATACAGCTTCATGGCTGTACATCTGATTTTGGCATTTGACCAATTAGATGAGCCCTTGAACGATATATTACCTTCTGTAAATTAAGATGAAATTAAAATAGTTAACAAGTCAACAAAAAAGGATAAAAATTAGTTGAAAAGTTAAAAGGGTTAATAAGCCTAGTTAACAATTATGTTTAGGTTTATAAAATAAAAAAAAGTACCAGTAGCAGCATTAATGCCACTAAGGTTATGTTGGACCAAATAAAATGAGTTTCTTTCACTCTCAAAGTATTTTTTATTAATTTCATATTGAAGCACTTTTGTTATTTTTCTTAATATATTCGGGTAAGTTGGCGTTTCTTGTTATTACATTAACATCCATTTCTGCCTTAAAAATATCCATATTTCTGAATGTTACAAAGATTTTAAAGTCTCATCCTGGATTCCAATAACACTATTTGCTTGAAGTTTGGATTATCAAAGTATTTCACTGAGTGCCCTATAAAGGGTTAAGGATGCGTAATTGATAACACCTACTACTGTATGTTGCTCATATCCCTGGAGGAGAGACTGAACAAACTGTGAGATTATCAAATCTGTCTCTGTTTTTGTCTTTCAGGAAATGACAGAAATCCCTCCCTCACAAGCTTACGCTGGAGGCATGGAGACCTTTATTTAAGAGAAGTTTAGATGCCTCCTGCTGACTTACTCTCACATATCAGGTATTGTCTCCATCGTTATGCCTCACCAATTCTCTCTGTACATAATAGTTACTTTATGTGTTAAAGTATCATAACAAACAAACCCTGATAAGAAAAGGTCACGTATAGATAGAGACTTCATTAGGTGGAGGTTATAAAATGCCGCACAGATAGACAGACCAACAAAGACTGTTATCAGTACTTAAGATGAGCGACGGAGGGGGGGGGCTTATTAACAAGTCTACTTATCACCATGCAAGGACACATTTTTTCACATCTCCAACTTAATTCTGCTGTTAAAGATAACTGCCATGATGGAGTGAATTCTGACCCAGTAAATGGAAATTTGAAGAAAAGAATGCTTTGAGAGTAACTTTACTGATTTATTTTTTTTCTAAACTTTATTTCTTTTACATATTCAATATTTTATTTCATTTTTCAAATTGAGTTTTATGAATTTGTTGTTTTTTCAACTGTTTTACAGATTTTCGTTACTTAAAGACCAATACACACACTTTTTCTTGATCAATAAAAATATTGCTTATGTCTAACGGACCAATAGAAACGTGTTTTTGCTCCTCATTCCAGAGGAAAACCCCGCCCCCTACCCTGATAAAAATAAAATAATTTAGTCTGGCCCCGATGAATGAGACATCAGAAGATTGTTGATGAGAACAACCCGTTATTTTTCAAACCGTGTCTGTGCCTATTGGCCAATGCTCTGACCAATGAGCGCAACTGACTGTGACGTAGTAAGCGCGACAGGAAGTGGTGGGGGAGTGTAAACAAACAGCCTGTCGTAAAAGCGTAGAGCCTCTTCCTGCTCACGTTTCAACGAAAACCCCAAGTCTAATCCTTCCAAAACTGATTCCAAAGCTGAGACAAAGGAGAACTGTTCAACAGTTGTTGCCATCTTCCTTGTTGTGCTTTCTCCAGCGTCGCGCAGCTTTGTCTTCACGCCCTCAAAACCCCGCCCACTTTACATCCAGAAATTCAAAACAAATCTCTGCGTTGTAATTGGCCCGCCAGTTCTAGGGCCTGGGGCATTGATGGAGGCTAGACCACACGCAGGGAAAAATTATTTCAACCGCTGGTGGGTGGGCTAGTTTACTAGGCTACCCGCCCCCTGAAAAGAAGAGAATGTGGTCTAAAAAAAACGTAATCTGAAAAGGAAAAAAAAATTAATTTAGAAATAGGAAATCTGAAACAAAATGTTAAAAACGTTTAAAAAATGAAATAAAAAATTTTATTTGAAAAAAAAAATTGGTAAAAAAAACAAAAAACAAAAGAACCAGCAGAATTACTCAAAACTTTCTCTGATTAAGAAAGCTTTTAAAGTTTTATTTTTGGATTGCTGCTTTAAATTTCTAAATTAGGAAACAGTTTTCTTATCTTTCAAATTTCCTTTTAGAAACAAATTCAATGACAATAATGGAATAAAATTCACTCCATATATTGCAGGATGGCTCCATGTTTCAAAAAAAGCTAACATAAAATACTGCAGGGAATGTAAACAAATCCCACCACCCACGCACTTCAAATAACACAATGCAATTGTGTTTTATTATTTTAAATGTTAATTGTCTTGTTCCATTGGCAAAATGTCCCTTTTATATCCTCAATTCAAGAACAAATGCACTTATTTTTAGAAAAAATTACTTATCTAGGTTTAGATTTGTTTCCAGTGCCCACATGAGGGTTATGGATTGTATTTTTCAGGGAGTTGGCAGCCCTGCTCTGCACCCATCATGTCAGGTCTGCCTCCAGCATCACTAACAGGCCCTGAAGCTGCTGCTGCGGCTAAACTCATCCGTTCAGTGAACCTGTAACCTGCAGACTCTGTTAGAGGGAACAGGTTTGCTGCTGTTCTGTGTTCCAGCGGGACTAAAGTGATGTTAGCCGAGCAAATATTGACATGGGCGTCCGAAAGCACTTTGCTCCAAGGACCGCAGCCCCGGAACAAGGATGTCTGCCGGAGCTTAGCTAGCGCTAGCCGTTAGGTGCCACAATGAGCGGCGGCACGGGTTTATAAGCAAAGAGAATAAGCCGTTAGACATTTTAAACCACTAAATAGAGGAGGAAATACCTCCACCTCGGGTTGGTTGGGACACCATGTCGAAGAGGGGAGGGTGTAAACAAATTCAGCCACAGAAACGGACAACAGCGGACTAGCAAGAACCGCCCGCCCGGTAACATCGGCTCCGTGGGGCGGCCCCACCGCCCTTACCCGCTCCGGTGTTTACTGTCATGTCTCCTCTGTCGCCTCACGGGTTGTAGGGGGATACTGTCGTTCATCCCTGCAGCCCCCGTTGGCGGCTGGGAGCTGGAAGCAGTCTGCCTGGTTGTGGCGCGGCTGGTTTGGGCGGAGGCTGCGAGCTGTCAGTCAGAGTGGGCGCTTCCACTGACAGGCAGCGGGCTGGAGAGGAGACAACCTGTTTGTTTCTTTATGTTTAGACCCATTAGATATAACTAAAGTAAAAAAAAAACTAAAAAAAAAACTAGTTCCTTATTGTGCTTTATTGTTTTGTTTTTTTTTTCAAGTAAAAAAAAACCCGCAGTACTTCGAAGACATCACTGCGAAACAAGGTAGAGGCTGCATCATGCTGAGGGATTCTCGTCTGCGCGTTCTTTCAAGTTAACGTTTAGAAACTACGGAAGCCGACAGCGGTTGTGTCCCTCAGATACTCTATGTCAAAAAACACTTTAGATTTTAAATGGAAAAATTTTCTTTTTTTTCAACTAAAAAGTCAATGTATAACATGGATACATAAAAACCTAATTTTATTTCAGAGTTAATTTCTATTTAAAGTAACAGATTATAATTAAAAATGTCTCCGGAACTTTTGATGGTTTTCTTTATTTGGACCCTGCTGATTTTTAATTGGTTACCCCTGATCTAGTGTGATTTATGTTTTCTTCCTCTTTTGGGTCTCCCTTGGAATCTTACTAAAAATATATACATATATATATATATTTATACCTATATATGTATATATATGTATATATACATGTATAGGTATATATATATATATATATATATATATATATATATATATATATATATATATATATATATATATATATATATATATATATATATATATATATATATATATATATATATACACTATATTGCCAAAAGTATTTGCTCACCTGCCTTGACTCACATATGAGCTTAAGTGACATCCCGTTCCTAATCCATAGGGTTCAATATGACGTCGGTCCACCCTTTGCAGCTAGAACAGCTTCAACTCTTCTGGGAAGGCTGTCCACAAGGTTTAGGAGTGTGTTTATGGGAATTTTTGACCATTCTTCCAGAAGCGCATTTGTGAGGTCGCACACTGATGTTGGACGAGAAGGCCTGGCTCTCAGTCTCCGCTCTAATTCATCCCAAAGGTGTTCTATCGGGTTGAGGTCAGGACTCTGTGCAGGCCAGTCAAGTTCATCCACACCAGACTCTGTCATCCATGTCTTTATGGACCTTGCTTTGTGCACTGGTGCACAGTCATGTTGGAAGAGGAAGGGGCCAGCTCCAAACTGTTCCCACAAAGTTGGGAGCATGGAATTGTCCAAAATGTCTTGGTATGCTGAAGCATTCAGAGTTCCTTTCACTGGAACTAAGGGGCCAAGCCCAGCTCCTGAAAAACAACCCCACACCATAATCCCCCCTCCACCAAACTTTACACTTGGCACAATGCAGTCAGACAAGTACCGTTCTCCTGGCAACCGCCAAACCCAGACCCGTCCATCAGATTGCCAGATGGAGAAGCGCGATTCGTCACTCCAGAGAACGCGTCTCCACTGCTCTAGAGTCCAGTGGCGGCGTGCTTTACACCACCGCATCCGACGCTTTGCATTGCACTTGGTGATGTATGGCTTGGATGCAGCTGCTCGACCATGGAAACCCATTCCATGAAGCTCTCTGCGCACTGTTCTTGAGCTAATCTGAAGGCCACATGAAGTTTGGAGGTCTGTAGTGATTGACTCTGCAGAAAGTTGGCGACCTCTTCGCACTATGCGCTTCAGCATCCGCTGACCCCGCTCCGTCAGTTTACGTGGCCTACCACTTCGTGGCTGAGTTGCTGTCGTTCCCAAACACTTCCATTTTCTTATAATACAGCTGACAGTTGACTGTGGAATATTTAGGAGCGAGGAAATTTCACGACTGGATTTGTTGCACAGGTGGCATCCTATCACAGTTCCACGCTGGAATTCACTGAGCTCCTGAGAGCGACCCATTCTTTCACAAATGTTTGTAAAAACAGTCTGCATGCCTAGGTGCTTGAATTTATACACCTGTGGCCATGGAAGTGATTGGAACACCTGATTCCAATAATTTGGATGGGTGAGCAAATACTTTTGGCAATATAGTGTATATATATATATATATATATATATATATATATATATATATATATAGAACAAAGAAAAAACAGTCAAAACCAAACTAGTTCCTTATTGTGCAAGTAAAAAAAACGCATCACTTTGAACACATCTCCGCTGCGAAACAAGGTAGAGGTTGCATCATGCTGAGGGATTCTCGTCCAGTCAGCTTTTAGAAACTAAGGAAGCCCAGAGCGGTCATGTTCCTCAGAAACTTTTTCACGGTGGTTTTCTTGAGAAAAGAAGTTAATTTTCTCATTATCTTAAGACATCGAAAGCCGTTGATTGTGTGTGTTAACACCGATTACATCCTTCAATACCACAACAGCGCTAGAGGATTTAGAAGTATAAGTCACGGCAGCCTATGTGTAATTCTATAAATAATCCTGTGTTTAAATTTTAGGCTATGAGACACGTTGGTTTGATGATCTGCTTCCACTTCTGATTCATAAGAAATTAGACCCATGCCTCCGGCGGGTGTTTTCTGAACAGCTCCGGTGTTACTCCTATAACAGCTTTAAGATGCATTAACCCCTAAAATGAGTCCAGATTAGAGATTTTAATTGAAAAACAGTCAGATTAGTTAGTATTTTATCTGTGTGGTTTTATGGTTATTTTACTGTTTTGTTTTTACTACGTATGTTATTTTATTGTAATGTCTCGTTTTAACTATGTATGCTGTTTTTATTGTACGGTTTTGTTTTAACTATGAATTTTGTAGCACTTTGAGATTTTTTTTTTTAATGTAAAGTGCAATACAAATAAAATGTATTATTATTATTATTAGATTTGTTCCTACTGTATTCCATGCAATCCAATAATCCACCATGACCTGACAATGAGTGAAAAGAAAAAGGAAACTAATGGATTATTTGCGCACACGTGGTACTGCACAACTACAGGCACTGCAGGCATGGATGGACGGGGAATCCAGGGCTGTTGGACAGCCTCATTCATTAGTCATACAGGTTAATCATCTCGTTAAATCGAGATATAAAGAACTGTTCTCTCGTAATAATCAGATAATTATCTGGTTATCTCGAGAAAACAATTAATGGTTTAATCGTGATAACTAGATAATTATAACATTATCTCGAGAAGACCGCTCTGGGCTTCCGTACAAAACTGCCTTTGACTGTCAAAGTTAAACTGTTAACTGAGGTATGATTAGTTTAAGCTTGTGGTTAAACTGCTTTGTTTGCTTTCCTATCTGCCTCGTGTTTTTATCTTTACTTGCTTTTATTCTGCTTTTACTTGCCTTTTCTTTGACTGTTTACTTCATGTAAAGCATTCTGTACCTTTCTGTGGTATACAAATAAACCTGCATGCCTTGTAACCAATGTTCCCTCTAATGTTTCATGTAGATAGATAGATAGATAGATAGATAGATAGATAGATAGATAGATAGATAGATAGATAGATAGATAGATAGATAGATAGATAGATAGATAGATAGATAGATAGATAGATAGATAGATGATAGATAGATAATACACCTGGGATCATAGGAAGTTACAAAGCTTATTTATTTAGTGATTTTGCCCACTTTAAATAAAAAAAACAACAATAACTTGTTTGCTTCCTTTTCAACTTTATTGTTTGTTTTTCACTTCTGTCCAATCCAGAACCATGATTCTAACAATATTTACTAATTCCTAAATCTGTTTTTGCAGTTTTATACATTTCTATAAACCCCCTGTCCTGCTGCTGCACGTTTTCCACCACATCTGCTGCTACGTATTACATCTTTAGAGCTTGTTTGTTCTTCCATTCAACCAATCTTTATAATGTTAAACCTATCCAGGCAGATGTTGCAGATTTGCAACAGCTACATGCCACTTAGCTAATTACTCCACATCCATATTTTAAGAGCTTTTGTTACTCAGAAATACAACAGAAGGACTTAGTTGTGCATTTGCAACAAACAGCTTATCTCCAGCTCACCACATGACACTGCTGACTCACTTTCAACATGGCTGAGTCCTTGGTGTCACTGAAACAGATTTTCTAAGCACCAATTTCATGCAAGTATCACTACCAATTTCCATTATTTTGAAATCAATACTACATAAGATGAATCATGAATGTGTATAGATATGACACATGCCAATTAGTAGATTTTATCTCCTCTGGGTTTTTAACCAGAGGCAATGATTTGAGGATTAGCAAACATGCCCAAACAGGTACCAATGGATGCTACATGCTTTGCCTATATTTTGAGCAACAGTTTAACAGAAACGGCCTTCTCAAGAGGCTTTGAGATGTCGGTGGAGAAAAAGTTTGAGAAAAAGTTGTCTCTAATTTTGTGAGATAATTTTTTTTTCCCGAATTTTGTTTTGTTAATTTTTTGTTTGCGACATTCAAATAAGATTAACGTTCATATCAGATTCAGTCTTCAGTGTTAATTTACCATTCCAGGCCACTGTTGCAAATCTGCAGCATCCCAGAATTCATTGCATGTGAAGGTCTCTCTCAAAAAATAGCCTGAATTGTATATTACTACCCCATATGATTTTCTCCAAATATCAGATTTTTCCTGCAACAACAACTTAATTTGAGCCTGAGAGGGTTAAAGCTAGCCATAAAAGTGTGTCTGATCTTGTTTTGAGAATAATAAGCAAGAGCAGATTGTAATATTGAATCAATGTTACTTAATGTTAGTGCACCAAATTGCAAAGTCATGATTTATATCCTCAAAACAATCCTGACAAAGTGTAATTTTCTGATTTATCTGCTCAAAACACAAGAAAATAAACCTATATTCAAAAAAAGATTTAATTAAGACTTTCTTAGTATATCTATTTCAAAACAAAAACAAAAATGCCTTTTAGTTAGAACTAAGACTTGGTTAGATGGAGACTTTTTCTACTCAGAGTCCTGGCCGTAATCTCCTGGAACACCTCTGGGATGAATCAGAGCAGCGGCTGGGATTCTGGTTTTAACTATTAACCACAAACACTGAGGAAGATGTTAACAGAACAGATAAAGCGCCTATTGCTTGGGACAGGGTCCATCAGCAAAACTGAGCCCTTAGATTAAGAAAGGATGCAACAATGGAAAAAAGAAGTGTCTAATTACAAGCTTAAAAAAAACTTAAACTGAGGTAGAATAAAATGAGTGGTGTTACCTGTCTCTGCACCTAGATCATTTCAATCGACAACAGTTATTAGAATAAGATCAGACTGTAAAGTTGGGAGACTTGAAATTAAAAAAAATTATCTCTAAAAAAAAAGTGAAATGATCTAAAACTTGTCTTATCTTGATTAGAACTGATTAATTTGCAGTGCAGCTTAACAATGCAAAAACAATCTACAAATAAGGAAGAATTTCTTAAATCAAGTGCATTTACCCTTAATTTTAGATATATATGACAATAATAATGACTTATTTAGATATCATTTTTTGCACTGCACTGCTTTTTAACTTTACTTTTACTAAAGTAAATTTAGGGTAAAGCATCACTTCTCCTGCTTAAGTCATTTAAAGTTCAGGCTCCTCTACATGTGAGTTAATGAAATATGCTGGTGAAGAGTCTCAGTCATCCAGGTCATAGTCATTCCAAAAAAAAGAAAATGAAAAACAATCCACTGGACTTTCCAGTTCCAGTTTCCAAGTTTGAAGACGTTTCCCTTCCCATCAGGAAGCTTTTGCAATTTGCATGTTTTCAAAACAAAAACAAGTTTTTTTGGGGCTACTGTATAAAACCTCAAACTCAACGCTCTTCCTGACATTTGAATTGAGAAAGCTTCCTTTTTGGAATGGTTAACTAAATACTTTTTGGTACTCATTGCTTTAATCCTATTTTCCATCTGCTGACTCTCTCCTGTTTATTTGGAGGTCCAGTAAAAAAAAAAATCAATACGTCAGTTTACTGTCTTTTAATCAATCCTAAAATCCTTTAACTATTGATTTTTGAAGTTTTTTAACTTTAATAATGTAATTTGAAGTGTTCCACCCAACTAAATTGTATTTTTTTTAAATACAGTATGCATCTACATTCTCATTCTTTGCAATAGCAGAATTTGCATTAAACATATCATTAAAAAAATGATTAAAGGAGATTCCAAAAAAAAAAAAAGTTAAAAATAATCCACATTTCGCTTCCCATCCAAGAAGCATTTTCAATTCAAAATGTGAGGAAAAGCGTTGGGTTCCAGGTTTTGTTCAGTTTTCAAACAGTTTTGCATGTTTTCAAAACAAAAACAAGCTTTTGATGGGCTACTCTATAACCTTCAACACTATTCCTGACATTTTCAATTGAAAAAAGCTTCCTGGATTCAAAGCAAAATGTCTTCAAAATTAGAAACAAAGTCCAGTGGATTGTTTGTAACTAGATGACAGAGAATCTTCACCAGCAAATTAAAAGAGCTCCGATCATAACTAGATCAGCTGCTATTTGAATCGCATTTTTACCAAACACTTTTACTCTTAAGTCATTAAATGAATGGCTACTTTTTAGTTTTGCGTTAAAATATGAGTAGTGCTACTATTACGTGTTTGACACGAGTTAAATGTATAAAGATCATATAAATATATAATTATCTAGGTGAAGTTTGAAGCATTGAAGTGGATTAACGAACGTTTCAAAAGGTAAAGAATGAACATTCAGCAGCCGTGGGGCATCTTTCAGTCCTGCCGACAAAAGGTGGTTGGCTGCATCATTAAACGCTGAAGCATCAATTATAAATTCACAAAGCAACAGGTGCAAACATTTGATGTAAATGGTGCGATTCCACACTTTTGTTGCAAAAATGCATCATTTGAATAATGAGCAATGCCGACAATAATTAGATTTGCATGCCGCAACTTTGGCCTCAGTGTTGTGACATTTGCAGAGGCGAGCTGGTCTTTGTTATCCTGATTTAGGAAGCCACCAGTATGGAAATAAGCGTTGGCTCTCATAACTCCATCCTGTGTACTGTTTCAACTGTGCACGACCGATTCATTCAGGTTGGGTACATCCTGAATGAATCGGTTTGGGTTTTTCTTCTAAATCTTTGCAGTTTATAGTTCATGTCAGAAACAAAACAAAGATTCTTTAAAAAAAAAAAAAGAAAAAAAAAATGGAGCAACCCCTGAACAAATATGACAAAACCCTAAAAGGGAATCTAAAAGAGAAAACTTCATTTTTTTTAAAAATAGCTCAAGTCGATTATCTCTCAGCGCAGCAAAACTAGTTTATATGAGATATACGAGTTTTGAATAAGATTCTAACGTTAAGATACTTGAAAAATAAAGTCTAAAATGAGAAACCGGTTCTTACATTTCTAAATCAAGTCAGTCTTATTTTCTCTTTATAAAAAACCAAATAATTGGTAAACTGATTCAGTGTCTGTGTGGGTTACATAATTTCACATGTCCCACAAGACTTACTTGGTTCCTTTAAGGTCAATTATGCAAATGATTGCATCATTTAAAACTGCAGAGGAAGTAGCCAATGTACAGCTGACATAAAATGGACTACATGCAAATAGGCGTTTCGTTGAGAATGCAAAACGCTGCTGGATTAATGGTGGTGGGAAATGAGAATTAGGAGAAAGGATTTCACTAGAGTCCTTGGAAGGTGAATTGATGTAAATTAGGGATAAATGTGAATGTCAGCTGTGATTGTAGGAGAGATTAATGGCAAATCTGTTGTGTAAATATCCCCACCCATAAGGTTGGTGAAAGAAAAACAAAAGAAAAAAAAAATTCAAAAAAATTCACCCTGATTTTATTCTTCAAAAATCAGAACACATTAAACTCAAAAGGAACATTAGGGGGGAAAAAAAACAACATACATTTACACTGTAAACAGGATCAAATTGGCTCCATGTTACTTGAACCGTGAAGGCAATTTGAAAACAAGTTAGACATGGGTTTACTTTAGGGAAGGCACAACTTGGCAAATGCATATCGATTAAAGGAATGAACAGCAGGAGCCTACAGAGAACTCGGACCAGGCTGAGTTGTGTAAAGTGTCCAGTGATACATTCATTACCATTCAACTCAGCAGGTTGAGAATGAAGATTTCCATAGCATACAAAAAAAAGTGGGAGATATACAGAACATTGCATTGAGTGTGAGGGGCGTCGAGGAGTAACAAATATCGAAATGAGGTAGAAACTTCCCCCTAAACTCAAGCCTTTTATATAAATAAATAAACTCTGCTACAAACTGATAAGACTACCAAGAAGAAGAAAAAAAAAAAAACGGAAAATCTTTACTGAATAATTCTGGCAGGAAAGAAATTACAGCTCGTCACCTTTTCATTCAGTTACGGTAAAAGCAGTGAAATGTAAAAGCATTTACAACCTGAAATAAAGTGCAGGCATGACGACACCAGCCAACTAAATGTGCCACTAAGTTTCAAAGCTGAGTATAAGGATGAAGAATTGGTTGGAGTAAACTATAAACTAAAAGTTTGGAAAATATGAAATGTACGCCACCCTACAGGGGAAACCTTTTTTTTTTTCCTTTCAGTCTAATAGAGTCATTGTAACAATCCAACAGTGCCATAAAAAATGCAGATTTAATTCTAATCAGGCACTTTAACAGGTATGTGTTATCAAAAAGTGTAGTTTGGCACCAATACAATAAAATGCATTCATAATCTACGATCTAAAACAGCAGAACTTTGATTTTATATTGCAGTCCATCCAATCAAAAGCTCCTAAATGAGAAAAGTTTATGTAAATTACTAGAAAGAGGAAAAAATTTACGTACAATGTCATAAAACCTACGGCACACAGCAAAAAAAGGGGGGGGAGGAATCTTAAATGACACATGCAGTTAGCCATAGCATTACATCTGAACACTGAGACCACGTCCTGCCTGGTCTGACTGGGTTCCTTAAAATGCATGCCCTTTAACTTATCCTACAAAAACACAATCCTTCAAGGGATTCTTAAGGAGACGGCCAAGTTAAAGCAGTTTCAAGTAAGTTATACATTCAGACTTCCGGATAGACAGCATTACAAATAAAGGTCACATGAGAAAATACCCGCATATGTGTTTGTATAAAAAAAAAAAGAAAAGAAAAAAAATCCTACAGTAGTAATAAATCAAGTTTAAACACTCAATCATTCAGATAAGGAGGGGATAGAGGCTCTGAATGCAAGAAGCAAAAACTACCAACCGATCTGAGCGGACTTCTGCTAGATGTGTTGAACGTTGATTGTACCTCATTAGAAAGAAATGACGCGTTCACAATGAGGATGGATTACCTGCCAATTAAAAGATTAATTAACTGCAATTTTTCCCTCCTCCATGAAATGTGGAAACTGTGACTTTGGCACACTTTCTGAACCGTTCTTTTCTATTTCAGCCATGGTGGCGGGTAAGCCAGAGTGGGATCCGTCCATCTTTAAGAGGCCCCCGGTGGATCCGATCAGCGGCCCACCGGCAGGGCTCCCGGGCAGTGGGATGCCGCCCCCCTGAATGACGGAAATTTCATTGGTCTTCATGGTCAAGCCTCCAGTGAAGGCAGCAGCAGAATACTGGTTCCAGAGGGAAGGGTCGAAACTCATCTGTGGAGCACCCAGATCTTTGGGCACTTGAATCATATCTGGGATAATCTTGGGCTCTGAGCCCATTGCCATTATGGCCATGGGATTGTCCAGGGAAAGGCGTTGACCGCGGCGTGATGAGTTGTTCCACATATGGGTGCCGATATGAACCTTAAAACGACAAAACAAAAAGATCCAATCACAACCTGGTTGCACTGCCGAATATCAGGACAACATTTATAAATGACCACAGCAATTGCCCCAAAACAGTGGGAAGATGTACCTTCAGGTTTCCTTTTGTAGTGAAAGCCCTGCCACAGATGTTGCAGGCAAAAGGCTTCTCCCCTGTATGCGTCCGCTCATGGATCTGCAGAGCACTGGCCGATGAGAAGTTCTTGCCGCAGACGTTACATATATGCTGTTTGGTGGATCGTCGAGGTGCACTCGAGATGGGGGAGGGTATGGCTGTTCCCTGAGGCATTTGGGAGCTGAATAATCCATGCGGACCCAAAGGATTCTCGGTGGGAATCTTCATTTCCAGGCTGCCCAAACTTGGAGGCATCTTCATGAAAGGTAAGCTGCCAGGAGCTTTGAACACAAGAGGTAAGAAAAACTTTAAAAATCAATGCACTTTTACACTACAGCAACAAATATGGATATACAAAGGAGATAACTCACCATAGTCGCCATTTGTAAATGGGACACCAGGTTCTTCTTTAATAGCTTTGGTGATAAAACTGCTTGAAGCCGTGAGGTCAAGGGCTCCACTTGAGTCACTTCCATCTTGGGCTCCATCAGACTCTTGTTTTGACAGATTGCTGGTAAATACGTCACCTGCAGACTCAGGGGACTTGCTGCTGCTGTTGTTCACAGGGGAAGAGGAGTGAAAAGACATGGCCGAGTCAGAAATGGCAGGGCTGCGCCCATTCTGGTACTCCTGCTCTCTCTGAACTGGTGGCGAGCTTTTAGGCGTTCCTTCGTTTTCTGAAGGGGTGCTACTCTGTCGTTTCAGGGCAAGAGCAGATGTGAGGTTCTTTAGGACATCTAGGCTGGAAAACTGTACAGGCACAGCGACCTTTTGAGACTGCTCTTCAGGGGCAGATGGGAGGGGGTTCAAGGAATCGTTTGGCTTCTGGGAGTTGGAATCTGGTTCTTGACCTTCCATGGTTCCTTCAACACCACTGTGGTCCATCGATTTCTCCTCTGGTAAGGATGCTTCCATCGTCTCTGCCGCTTCGTACTGGTTTTCTGGCATTGGGGTGTTGGGGATCTGCCCTCCCATGTGCATACGAATGTGCTGCTGCAAAACTACGGCATTTGTAAACTTCTTCTGGCAGATGGGGCATGAGTGTTGCATTTTCAGTGGAGTGCTGGCTCTATGCACTCCGTAGTGAGCCTTGAGGTTGCCCTTTGTTGAGAATGCACGGCCACAGATCTTGCATTTGTATGGCCTTTCACCTGTGTGGGTGCGGTAATGCATTTTGAGAGAGCTCTGGCAACTGAGCACCCTGTGGCAGATCACACACTCATTGGGATCATTGGTCCTCTTTTCCAGGCCATCCACCATTTGCTGAAGTTTTGCTGTTCCAGAGCTTGGTTCTCCAGTAAGGGCAGCGCCATTCATGTGATGGAACGCACCAAGTAGTTCTTTAGCCTCTTTGTGATTTGGGTCCAGTCCCGGGTCTCTTCCAAACACTGCTGACATGGAAGGGGAACCATCACTGGCTGATGGGGAGGGCTTTTGAGAGAACGGGTCACTCCCAAAGCCATCAAACTTTGGTTTAAATCCTGGTATGGACTGTTGGTTGAATCCAGCAGCTGGATGACTTAAGACAGGCTTCATTTCAATTAAATTGGACTCATCAATGGGCACAGACATACCGAAGGGAATGCCACTGCTGGTGGGGATATTGTCGAGATGCTCAGGCACAGGATGGGGATTCATACGGATGTTAGGATATTTATCTTTATGTCTCTGGAAATGCACTTTAAGGTTTCCTTTGGTTGTGAAGCGGTTTCCACAGATGTTACATTTAAAAGGCCTCTCTCCAGTGTGAGAACGCAGGTGGATCTGGAGGGCGCTGTCGTTGCCGAAGGTCTTTCCACAATATTTACACTTATGCTTGCACATGGATTCCCCATTTTTTGATTCTGGTGGGATGGTCAGCATCTTTGCTTTCAGCTTTTTTGAGGAGTCAATCCCTGGCTGGATACCATTAAAGGTGCTGGGGAAACCAATAACACCTGGTGACTGGGGTAGTAGTACAGGTAAACGGCTTGCCAGATCTGGAACCCCCTTTAAAATGTCTGTTTGAGAAGCTATTGGTCCCAGTCCTGAACTCAGAGAGTTAGGGATTCCAGTGGGAAGAGGTAGTTTACCTTGCTTAACCGACTCCATGGAAACACTTTGATTGCCAGTCCTTTTACCTATCAGAGCTGCCGCTGCAGACAGCTGTTGAGACAAATGTGCACCAAGAGCTTTGAGGGGATCCATGGCCGTACCTACGGATGACTGCAGACCCTGTGGGGTCATCTTGGCAACCTGGATTCTGATCTGTTCTGTTAGCTGAATTTGCTGTAGCTGCTGTTGCTGAAGGCACACTAGTTGTTCCAAGATGATGGGGATAGCTTGAAGAACATCTTGTGGAGAGGCCTGAGGTGCATTTGAAGAACTCTGGGAGACGGCCACTTTAGTGTCAGGCAAAGTATGAAGGGTGACATTTGTATCTTGCATTTTGGGAGAAGAGTGGAACACTCTCTCTGGACTTGTAGACATCCCTGTTTGATCCCGTTGTCCTGGATCCCCAGTGTTCACGCTCGACTGTTCATCCACCCGTTCCAGTTTGTCTGTGATGGAATGATTGCTGGACTGGCCATCGTCGTGGTCGCTGTTCAGGCCTTCCGGAGATCCTTGCGAATATTCCTCAGGCACCTCATTGTAATCTCCCTCTTTCATGATGACCACCTGCTGGCTTTTAGTGCAACTTTTTTCATGCTCAAGAAACTCTGCTTCATCAAAGTATTCAGCACAACACTTCTTACAGACTCTGGTTTCATCCATCTTTAACTTCTTTACATAATTTCCCTCTTCTTCCTCTTGGTCTTCTCGAGGAATTCCTTAAAGAAGAAAAATAAGATTCATAAGAATGTGATGCTTTTCAAAAGCAAGAAATATTATCACCATCATGAGAATCAATGAAACAGGCTTGGGGTTAAAATGTTATCTCTCCCCTCTAAAGCATCACAGCAGTTAAAACCAATTTGCCTGATATCATCTGTACCAGCAGAGGGCAACCCTCCACTTTTGGTAAAACAAAGCTTAAAACACAAAAGAGGGGGGCAGTAGATTGTGTTGTCATTTATATTTACCCCTTCATGCCCCCTTCTTAAATTAAACTCAGTGCTAAAAATAAGAAAACAAAGTTAGTGTTCCTTTCTAATCCCAACTAACAGACAGTGAACATCTCCTCTCTAAAAATAAGAATTTTCCGGCAACTCCAACAACATTACCAGCATCCTTAAACCTAAAGAGAGACTTGATCCTTTTTGTGCATTTTAATGTGTTTGATGACCAAGAGGCCATTTCACAACTGGGTGGATCGTTAAATGCAAATGTCCCAAAAAAAAGGAGAAAGACCACCTGTCTGCATTTGAGCAGGGAAACATTTGGCCTCGTTAATTGCTCACCAGGAGGCACTGAAGCGTTGTCAAGACAAAAAAAACAAAAAAAAAAAACGGTTTTCTATTCGGGTCTAAGAAGGAGCAGTGGTCTAAATGCATACAGTTAAGCCGCTTTAACTGCTCAATAAATTTAAAAAACACAACCATGAAAGCAAACGCGCGCGCTCTGATCTCCGAATATTTCCTGCGTTTTCTTAGAACACTTACGGGAATATACAAAAATAAAAAAGAAGAGCAGCGGTTCAGCGGTTAAAAGCGCATGACCTGTATCTGATCACCTTTACAGGGACCTGACACGAGGTCAGGATCCACATGAATGAGATCAGCTCACAATCTTCCTGTAAGGCAGCAGCAGGACTTCCTAAACACACCACAGTTTGTGCTTCATATTTCACGGTTTCCTTAATTATATATATAAAAAAACAACATAATACATACGAGTGAAATAGAGATTGCATATGGCAACACCCAAAAAAAAAAAAAAAATGCACCCCCACCCAGTCACCACAAAAAGGCCACTGCGCCTCCATCCCCCACCTCTCCTCATATGTACTAAAGGAAACAGTCATGCATTAAACTGGGAGGGGGGGATTTATAGCCTGTAGGTCAGCTTACCTCAGAGTCACATTTCATAAAGTTTTTAGATACCTTTGTTCAGGATTTTGGAATTTAACACGTTTCAAAACAATGATTAAAAAACTTCACACGGATTAAACAATAAAAGATGAATTAACTTTTAAACATAAGGGCTGAAAGCTAACTAAAAAGGGCAAACTAAAAGTTTAAGATAAACCAAAAATAAAATTAAAGAATTATTTACAGGTTAACATAATGAGGAAAAAGAAAAATCAACGGGAAGCGAAGGGATTAATAATCTCGAAGAAATACTAATCTGGGTTAAATTTCACTGCTTTATCTCTAATGAACGCGGTCGCTTAAAAATTAACAAAAAAAAGTGTTGAAAGCGGCCGCAACAAAAAAAAAGTTAAAAACTTACAAGGTTGCCCTGTGAAGCAGCGAGGCACCTGTGTGCGTGTCTAAGTGCGTTAGTTTCCACGCAGACTGAGGCTAAGTTTAGGCCAACCCTGACCCAATCAAAGGGACAGGCACCGGGTCAAAGTGCGTGAGGACCAAGGCTTCTTTTAAAAGGTGAAAATAAACAACTAATCCAAGTTATGGAAAAAATAAATCAATCAGATGTGGTTGTTTAGAAAAGCAGCATGGATAAAAGTCTCCGGTTTCCTGCGCTCCGTAAACTCACCAGTTTCCTCAGAGTCCGGCTCGTCAGAGTTGATGTGCTGCGGCTTGGCTTGCTTGCGCCTCGACATGATGCAACCATCGGGAGCAAAGAGTCGCAGGCAATTTTCCTCCGCTTCTTCTACAAATTCTTCGCCTTGAAAAAAAAAAATCACCCCCCCTCCCTCTCCAGTAGAAATGCGCATGTCAACGTGATTATTATTATCAATAATGCATTGCGATTTATCGCAGGCTCCCGGACAGCTGATTGGCTCCGGTCCAAGGGCTCACACATTATTCAAATGGTTCCTATTGATGAGCCGGGCGGTGTGGCCGGAGGGGGCGTGGCGAGGAGCGCCAGTGGCCGCGCGCAGGGATGGGAGGCTGGCTCAATAAAATTCCACTTCTCCCTCTTGGGTTTCTTTTCTCTTTGCTTCATAAAACATGCAGGCTACTGTAACGCGGGCGAGCAGCAGACCAGCCGAACACATAAAAATGAATAAAAGATGCCATATTCAGCTTACAGCAATACTCTCACTTAGAAAAACTAAAACAATCCCCCCAAATCTATAGTTTGGTGGCAGCTCCTCGTGTTAAAGCAATGCTTTCATCGTTGTACTCTGTCTAAAAACGTGACTCAGCAAAAAGTTTGCAGTCCTCATGCCAAAAAGTGCGCAGAAACAATCTGTTTGTGCCTCCTTCATCAACAAGTGAACATTTTAACACATAACATGAACACATAGCTACAACTTTACACATTTTTTCTTTATATAGAGCAGCAAGGAGGGGATTTACCTTTAGACATTACAATTGCCTAGGGCCCCATACTATAAAACTCTGCTTACATGTATAGTTAATACAACTATTCCTTATTTGTCCACATTAATTATGTTTCTGAAAAATCCTTTTGCTAAAAGGCCATCAGAACGCTTATAATATTTAGTTTTCTGATGGCATTTTTAGGCCAACTTTTATATATATAAAGGGGAACAGTTTATATATATATATTAGGGATGGAACGGTTTATGAAAACCTTCCGAACCGTTCGGTTCGACTGTCTCGGTTCGATTCGCGTGTGTTGCGTTCGGTTCATGCGCTGCTCCTTTTTCTCATAGGCGAAGCGTTTACACTCCAGAGCAGAAGGTGGCGGTACTGCGACCAAAGCCAACCACCAGTAGTAAAGAAGAAAATAGTTGAGTATCATCAGCATAACATATAAATTAATTCAGTGTCTTATCATTTTACCAGTTGGAAGCATAGTGAAGAGAATTTGCTCTATAATTGAATTTTCTGATTGGTAGACATATCAGACTGCATGGAATTATTTTTCACTGTTATGCTGATGATATTTAGCTATATTTTTGCATCATAATGAAGCTAACCTGTTAGATAAGCTGCAGGCATGAGAGGTATCCCACATTTCTGGCTGCGCAAGCTGTCAACACAATATTCTTGTAGAAAGACTTAAATGATCTCTAGGAATTAAAATAAGCACTAGACTGGTTTAAGTCTTATTTGTATGATTTAAGTTTGTTGATGATAAATCTTTTTAAACCTCAAGGGTTACATGTGGAGTTCCACAGGGATTAATGCTAGGTCCAGCACTATGCTTCCTATTGGAAGAATTATCAAGCAAAATTCATTAATAGAATTCATTTAAATTGTTATACCGATAATATTCAGCTAAAATCCAGAGAAAGTAACCCATTGATAAACTACAGGTATGTTTTTTTTTTGTTTTTTTTTATAGCACTGAGTCATTGGAATGGTCAAGAAACACTCCTACCACATTTCATATTTTTAATGAGAAAAAAAGTAATAAAAAAGCATGTATCACCCTCCTTCCACATCTAAATTATGCACCACTCTGTACATTTTCTTTACTTAGAATCAAATACATAAAATACAAGGTGTTTTGGTTTGTAAAGTGACAGAATGTGAAATAAATCAACAAGTATAAGTCGTTTATCTCGATTTGCGTCAAGGTATTAATGCATTAGCCAAAAGCAAACGCTCAAACTAGGTTTATCAAAAGAATGTGGGGAAAAAAAAAATCACAATGAAGATATTTTCTAATTGGATGGATGTTAAAATAATATAACGCAAATGTAAACCATACTCACTACCGCTGATTAATTCTTATGTAAATATGCAAAAGCGCTGTGGTCGAACAGATTTTTGTTCCAGTTGATGCAGTATAAGTAGAGAAAGGCTTCGTGCTGCGGTGTTATACAGAAAAGGAAGATGGTTGAAAGCTGTGGTTCTGCAAACATTCACATTGTTGGCTTAGTTTGTGTGTCTTAAGCATTCCAGGAAGTTCTCTTTAAAACTTTAGGGAGACGACAAAGAGGGGGGGTCATCATTAAGGTAGCGACTCATGCAGTGAGCGAAACAACTTAAAAAAAATGTTCCTTTTTTAAAAACAATAAATTAAAAACCCTTATATGTGCTGTGAAAACGATAAAGTGGAATCATATCTGTTTTGTTTTCTCTATTATAGATTTTGAATTTGTTGCTTTCAGACTGCTCTTTTTTTTCACCAAGCAAAAATACTGCTTTAAAAAATATTTATCTATATATTTTTAAAATTGTGAAACTGAAAGAATCACTAAAGTGAAATAAAGGGTTTAAGGGAAAAGGGGTCTGCTATCATGGAACAGGATTTCCCAAGAACCCTAAACAGCTGGAGGGTAGTAAAAAGTTTCTGAAAGCAGAAAAGAAAGGTTGCTATGGAGATAATGGTTTATTTAGGGGTGTTTTATCATCAAGCTTTGCCTCTCTAAGCTCAACATCTTTAATGTCTTGGTGTTAACTGGAGAAAATTAGAGCTTTCCTAATAATTTCATTACATAGGTATGGAGTTAATTCTGTTCCATTATTGCTGCAAGCAAAGAACATGTTTAGTAGAACAAAATTTAAAAGAAAAGAAAAATACTTTTTCTAAGCTGAAATTCGAAAAATTTGGTAATTACATATTAAACTTCTTGAGGAAAACCCGTTTCTAAAGGATCCTTGCTGTTTTCTTAGATTGTATATTCTAAATTTCTTTTACAGGTATTACTTTTTTAATTTTTTTTTCTTTTTCAGTTGATTTTTACACATTTCTTTCTTTTTAAATTGTATTTTACGGATCACGTTCTCTTTACCTTTAGCACAAAACAAACACTCGCTCTTCACCAATGAAAAGGCTGTTGCTAGATTCCACACAGACCAATAGAAATGCGTCTTCACTCATGACTCCAGAGGAAAGCCCGCCCCCAGAAGTAAAGAGAATGTCTTGTGTAAAATAGAGTAAGAAATTACATAGAATGACATTTCTAAAACTCATTTTGAAAAAGAATTTTGAAAAACAAAATTACTGAATACAAAATAAGTATGCAAAAATTTAAAAAAGAATTTGAAAAAAAGAAAATAAAAAATTCTGAGTAAACAGCAGGATTACTTTCAAAACGTAAAAAAAAAGATGGTTTCTAAGTGTTCTGTAAAATACACATGAAATTACATAGAATTACATTTCTAAAACTCATTTTGAAAGAGAATGAAAAAAAATGAATTTCAGAATACAAAATCTGCATACATTTTTTTTTTACAAAATTAAAAAATGGAGAAAAAAAAAAAGAAAATCTAAAATTCTGAGGAAACAGCAGAAGCACTTTCAAAAAAATTTTTTAAGATGTTTTCTAAGTTTCATGTATACATTGAATTTTAATTTTTCAAATTTACTTTTACAAAACCTCCTGGTTGCAACAATAATGGGACATATTTCACTCCATACTTCAGCTTTGATTTAGATTTTGCACATACAACCAGACCTATTTAAAACTGGATTCACCAGGTTTGAAAACCCAAAGCCTTTTAGAAGAATGTAAACCATCATGGCGAAGCATGTGACCCGAAATGAACTCCCAGCAGTACAGTTTAGGGATCCTCACTCATATGTGAGATTGTCGTCTTGTAAAGCTCGAAATGCCTGAGCATGTCTATATGAACCCGCAGCTGATAAGCGGGAGACAAAGACACGCCAATATATTCAGATAAACAAATGTTCTTTGAGGCTCTGGCTGAAGGTGAAGAAGAGGGGAGTGCTGTCTAGACGGTTTATTGCCCCAATAAGAAGCTACACTTGAATACAGTGTTTTTTTCTGTGTTCAGTCCAAACAAGTCAAACTGTTCAACGTCGTAAAGCCACAGTTGTGGGAACCAGACAGGATGTCAGCTGTGAGAGATACTGGATAATTATAGATTAAATATATTGAATGAAATATGTATTCAATGTTGAGAAACTATAGATAACAGATTTTTTGTGATAATCCATTAAGATCAATTATAAAAGTTTTCAGATCATTTTTTTAGCTTTTTTAAGAAAACACATGTTTTGTTGAACTTGTTATTCTTTTAACAACTTTCTTTGTCTCTGCTTTTGGAGCAGGCGCTGTGACATTTGGACCCTCTCTCATGAGTGTAACTTTACGAGGAGGACCGCTAAGTGGACGAACAATAGGTCCCCGTCACTTGCTGAGCAATTGGGGAATTGGACATGTGTCTTTTTAGGACTCAATAAAAGATAAAAGGCGTGAGGAGAGATGAGAAATTTGACAATAGTGTGAAAATCAGCACAGTTGTCAAAACAAGCTGGATTTTTGATAAATATTTGTTTTTTTTTTTTTTTTAGTTAGCTTATCTTTTGTTTGACATACCGGTAACTTAAAACTGAAAAAAACTCTTTAAATAAAAAAAGTTATTTTTTTATACAAAAAACAGCCTTCTAATTAAACACAATACATTTTATCTTAACATATACTATAGTTAAAAATAAACTACTTTAGTTTCAGAAATTTCTGAAGAGGCAAGATCCTTAAAGGTTTGTCACTAAAGAGGAAGCAAAGAAATCTAATCCTAATCTAATGCGAAAAACAAATATATAATCCACATGTTGACAGTCTTATGTTATAAAATGAAGCAATCCACCCTGTCTTAGAAAGTATTAATAAAAAAGTAAAAAGAAAGTATTAATAAAGACCAAAGTTCTATTAAGAGCAAATGTTTCACCAGTGCTTTTCCAATAATATTTATTGAAAAGTTGTATAACTTTAATTAGACTGTATTTTATATATATTATTGTTTTAATGTTACTAGTGGTTCCTAGAATAAAAGTAGAATGGGAGGCAGATCTTTTAGTTATCAGGCTGCTCTCCTGTGGAACCAACTACCAGTTTTAGTCCGTGAGGCAGACACCCTGTCTACTATTAAGGCTAGGCTTAAAACTTTCCTTTTTGATAAAGCTTATAGTTAGAGTGGCTCAGGTTATCCTGAGCTATCTCTATAGTTCTGCTGCTATAGGCTTAGACTGCTGGAGGACATAGGGACCCCCATTTCATCATTCTGCTTCATTCTATCTCTATTCTCCCACTCTGCAGAATCTGTTAGTTCAATCTCTAACGTTCTGTTCTCTCTGCTTTTTCTCAAAGTAGCTTCATCTGGTCTGTTCCTGTTTGGCTGTGACTCCATCCTGGAGAGAAACATCAGCTGTGCTGCTTCCATCAACACCCTTGTTTTTAGATGCTGGAGCTTGGCCTGTTTTCCAGTGTAGTCCTGTTTCTCTGACTGTGAC